ATCCATGACTGTAGTAAAAACGCTCGTACTCATCACCCAAACATCTGCCCCCACCGGGACTCGAACCCAGGACCTCTAGAGTCTACCCACGACACCTTCATGGCGTTTGAACCACTCGGCCACGGAGGTGGTCGTCAGTGCTATTCTGTAAAATTTTCACGCGCGCTTCCGATAGCACTGCATAATGTATTTTAACAACTGGATTCCACTAACTCTTAACATAAGGCAGGTATGCAGGTAATTTGACTCGTTTATTTTAACAACCAGTAAAAACATGTTTCTTATATTTACAGTATTTAATCGCATTGTGAAAAGAGTATTATGATGACACGAAAAGTTACAGTTATGATAGATATTTTTTAAGTTTTCCAAAAGAAAACGCAAATAAGAAAAATTTAATTGTCATGTTCATAGAGAAAACAATTACAAATTATGAAGTAAATAACTAATAATGTAAATATAATAAATGTAATAATTAATATACTTTTACCTAAAACAACATAGATGTAAAAAAAACCTTCTTATATCTTTGACTCTACTTATTATACCATTAATGTGTTGTAATAGAATTATATTTCATTAAAAGGTAAAAGGGCGTGAAAATAATTCAAGAATTAGTTTGTTAATTACACAGTAGATTACGATTTCTCATGAATATTAAATGTGTGATCGCCTGGCCTATTGCAACCGTGTCTTACTCATGCTGCCCTCTACACCATCAATTTATATCAATTACATTCACGGGAAAGTGGAAAATTTTCACGCGCGGAACTGATGTAAATACGAATTCCCTGAAAATTTTACAGAATAGTACTATTCTGACAGATTTATTTTAACAACTGGATTCCACTTGCTTTTAACATAAGGCAGGAGGGTGCGGTAATTTGTCAGGCTTCGGATAAAATTAGATTTAAAAAAAATACTACTGAGCGATCAATTAAAACTAATATATAAAGGAAATCTGTTCTATAATAGTGTTAAATTAATCAGTGTATGAACCTCAATAATATTTCATTTAAATCTTGGCATATAAATATTTAACACTTTCCCGTGAATATAATTGATATAAATTGATGGTGTAGATGGCAACATGAGTAAGACGCGGTTGCGATGGGCCAGGCGACCACATATTTTATATTCATGAGAAATCGTTATCTAGTGTATAATTAACAAACGGATTCTTGAATCATTTTCACACCATTTTACCTTTTAATGAAATATTATCCTATTACCGAGTCTATTAACACATTAATGATATAATAAGTAGAGCCATAAATATAAGAAGTTTTTTTTACATCTTATTGCTTTAGGTAAAGGTATATTAATTATATTATTACAGTTATTATATTTACAATTATTAATTATTTACTCCATAATTTACAATTGTTTTCTCTATGAACATGTAAATTACATTTTTTTATACCTACTCTTTTGAAAAACTTAAAAAATATTTATAATAACTCTAACTTTTCGTATCATCATAATACTCTTTTAAAAATGCGACTAAAGACTGTAAATAAAAGAAACATGATAACATGTTGTTAAAATAAACAAGTCAGATTACTAGACATGAATAAAATAATGTCCAGCGTACATAATACGGAGATGAAAAGCATTAAAAATACATAAGTAGGGAAATGACAGCGTGTGGCCCCGCCTCTTCGCGCCGCCCGCCCTCAGATATTGAGGATATTATTCATTCCGCCCAATGTTCCGACCGCTAAGGCGTATTGAATAATAACTTAGTAATCACTTCACACTTTTTGTGTCAATTGTAATTACAGTGTTTTGTCTTTTTGATGAAGAGTTTCATAGTGTTGCTTGTTTCATTATATTTAAGGCTTTATGATGCTACGGATTAACACGGCGCTACCACAAAATAACATTTTGTATTGCTGCGGTTAAACGTGGTATACAGTATCTCGATATGTTTATGTCGTGGCCATATCGTAGATTTGATCACTTCATGAAATGCTCGAAAATTTCATGAAATGTTTCACTATCTATTGGCCACATCAGGATGTGGTTTGGGCAGATCAATGATGAGAAATCGTTTCACGATATGGCCAACTAAACGCGTGGCTACTTCATGAAATGGCAAAAATTATTTGATCATATTGTAAAGTAGTTACATTAATTACCGGTAGAGGCGCTGCAAGCGCTTTGTTTATATATTTATATGGCAGCCGCTGCCGACAATGTTGTTTCTCGCAGTGAAAAAGTGCATAATTCGTTATTTAATGAGGAAGAAAGTTAACAAAAGGGTTTTCGACGACAAATTAAGGAGAGTAGGGTGACTACGCAAAAGAAATCTATGGACTATTACTGGCTGTCAAAATATAACATTTTGGAAACTGCGGTTGAGGTACAAAGTGCGGATGAGAATCAATGCCGTACAAAGATATACTGTAAAACTGTACTTCCAGTGCCTAAGAGATGATATTTGAATTTCTTTTGTAGAAAAGGTCTCTTTTAATAGAGTTTTTTTTCTGGCGCTTCACCGGCCGCTGCCGCGGCACGCTCGCTTTGCTCGCTCGGCTCGCGCGTCATGGTCACAACACTAACCTAACCTAATATAGTGTGAAGTATTACCGTTTGGGCCCTGGAAGAACAGTTAAGTCTACTATTGTAATATGTACCAAAGTACCTTATTATTTCTAAACATTTGATAGTTTTCTAAATATAAATGTGTAAGTTCTTGACATGTTTTATGTTTAATTTAGGAAAAAAAAATCTTTTATTTGTTTATTTTGTTACAAAAATTTGATTAAATTTGTTTGTGTCATTCGGACTTAAATAACATTAAACAAGTTCTTACATATTCTGGATTTTTAATAAATATTTTACGGACACCCTAATTATACGATCCGGCCAAATGTGGATGACCAAATCGTTAAATGTTGACGATTTAATGATCAGGTCAAATTAATTTTGCCACATCAAGAAATGTGACCATTTCATGAAATTCTCGAGCATTTCATGACGTGAGCAAATCTACGATATGGCCACGACATATACAATAACAAACTGTCACAGTGCTTCTATTGTCCTAAAGAACCTCTAAAAATTTATGAATATTAACCCTTATTTAAGTTTTATTAACTGTACAGTAAAATTATTATCAGATATGAAAGTCAGTGACATGCCAACATAAAAGAGTAAATGCGTAGATCTGAACTGCGTCAACTGCAGATTTCAAATAAGTATATTAACTTATTAAATTTTAATTAGTTCCAAAGTGCTTAACATCAGCTGACTAAGTTTATATATTTTTTCTTTTACTGTGTACAAAAGCGGATAGTATTTTAAAGATTACCTGAACATTACTAATCTTTTTTGATAATGGAACTATAGTTTGAATCATCTCGATTAGTCCATCATCATCATATAAATAAGTTATTTTAATTGAAAATAGTTTATCGGTATATTACAAATTTATTGACTTTCATTTAAAAAAAATCAAACAAAGCAAATTCGTCGATGAGAAAATATAAACAAAACACATACCAAAAAATCGCTTTTCAAAAAAATATTTGCATCCATATTATTTGCTGTAAAAAGCCAAGCCATTACCGTCGAAATCGTAATTTATTCATGGCAGCCTCTCGAAATATGACAGAGTAAACACCAGGGGCTGTTAGCGAGAGGGGAGCGTGGGAGTCGCGACGTAGTCGGTAATTAGGTAACGTGTGGAACTCGTACCCTTGAGTACACCAGCTTGGATTAGCTTGACGCACTGAGCTTGTTAAGTGTAATCCAGTTGGGTGGAATTAATTGTTTTCTCCCATATTGAATTGTCACGGGTGACTTATTGGCGAATACAAAGATTGCTAAAAGTCAGAAAGGTGAAATAATAAATAAATAACACAGACAACAACATAGTCCTACACTTGCCAAGTTTCGGTCGTTAAGGGAAATAAAAAAAAACGGTCAAGTGCGAGTAGAACTCGCCCATGAAGGGTTCCGTAGCAGTAAGTAACATATTGTAACATAGTATAAGAGTTCTTGTAGTTCGTTGTAACTTTGATCGATGTTTTAATAATAGTGTATATTTTTAAATTGATTTGTGATTTATGACGTATTAAAAAAACTACTTACTAGATCTCTTTCAAACCAATTTTCGGTGGAAGTTTGCATAGTAATGTATATCATATATTTTTTTTAGTTTTATCAGTCTCTTATTTTAGAAGTTACAGGGGGTGGGGGTTTAACACTTTGGAAGTGTCTCTCTCGCAAATTATTCAGTTTAGAAAAAAAAAATATTTGGAACCTCAATATCATTTTTGAAGACCTATCCATATATATCCCACACGTATGGGTTTGATGAATTTTGATTTTGAATTGATTTGAATTTTGATGAATGATGATGAAAGATTTTTTTGAGTTTCATTTCTAAGTATGAGGAACCCTCAAAATTTATTGTTTTTTTTCTATTTTTGTGTGAGACTCTTAATGCGGTTCAAGGAATACATCTGCTTACCAAGTTTCAACAGTGTAGTTCTTAAAGTTTCGGAAAAAAGTGTCTGTGACATACGGACGGACAGACGGACGGACATGACGAATCTATAAGGGTTGATTTCCATTTGGCTACGAAACCCTAAAAAAATCGCCCTCCCATATACTTTCCATGTTATAGCTATCTCAATAGATATTTTGCCAAATATTTAAGTAGTATCTTAAATCCTATAGTAGATTTTTCTAAATGATACTTTATCAAATATTATAAGATACAGTTATAACTGATTATAGACATTAAGGTCATATTTGTTTCTTAATGTTTTTTTTATTTTAAACACAATAAAAAAACATTATTCTGACGCTGCAGACCTGAAAAGGCTGCGAAACGTCAATATATAAATAAAGTTCGTGCATTAACCCGTTAAAACTAGTTTTATTGAATGAGTGAAATGCATGAAAACCTAAGAAACAGAAACAACAATTAAGGGCATTTTTTAAAAATTAGTAAAATTTTTTTGTAAAAATAAAATGTAAGGCGATGAGGTTTTATGAATTGATTGAATGTTGCGCCAAACAGGGGTCAAATCGAAAACGGAACAGTAAAACATAATGTGTACCGTAAAATCAACTCCTCGCTGTCCTTCACCTTTTCGCTTTTACAATTTCAATCTCAACAATGGGTGCACTTTGTTAAATTATTTCAGACAACTTATCTTTTGTTGCAGTTATAAAATGGTCGGGGATAAAGGAAACTTTGAGAAAATAAAATGGACAAATCAGTAAATAGAAACACCGAAGAACATGGAAGCAGCACTGCCACAATTTAATCGACTAAACTCTTCACGTTTCTATCAACACTATGTAGTACCCCCAGTTCGTTTATCCACTGAATATCTCCACGAACTTATACCACAACACAATCCTACGTTACTTCAGCAGTACTTGGCTTATTACAATGAGCCTTTGGTGCCCTTGGACTTGTCTCTTAAATCAACGACACCTATCACACCACCGTGTACACCTCCTCCTACACAGAAACGAAAGATCACGGAGGATAAATTAATAAAATCTCCTAAAATATTTCGCCATTTCGAAGAACCTGAAGAAAAAAATGAAACCAATAACAACAATGAAAAACAAAAAATCGACGATGATAACTCCAATGACAGCGATAGTCCGGAAGCAAAGAAACTTAAATTCACTAAACAATTTTTCGAAGAACTTAGAACATGTTTACCGTCAGAAAAAGAAACAACATCGAAAAGTGCAAGGTCTTCTCCAGAGATTGTCGAGGTAAAAGATGTGGAAGAACGCCCCAAAAAGACCCCAAAGCCAGCAACACAACCAATTAAGAAAAGCAAAGCAGTGCGAAAACTTATGTTTGATGAAGACAAAACATCCCCTGTTTCTGGAACGATAATAAGAGATTTGGGTGAAGATGAAACATTAGTTGTTAGAAAGGTAAGTTGTTTGTTCTAAATACGTAACTCCGCATATTTCTTGCAGGCTTGACAGGACAAATATTATGCCGTAAAGCGCCCGTAAGAGTTACGGGGTCCTCAGTGGGCAGCCACTGTGGGGGCTCGTAAGGTTTACGGGAGCCAGGTGTGAGGTCCGTTCGGCGGTGTGCCTCTTAAAGGCGCCGTCGTCTGTAAACAGAGTTTTTGCCTGCGTCACAAAAAAAAGGCTTGACAGGACAAAGTTGATTAAATAGATAAATCGGTACACAATAAAAAGTTAAAATACCACTCTTTAAAAAAACATTTCAAATGTTGTCTCACGGCCGCATACAGCAACATTTACATTTATGTGGGGGAAAGTGAATATCAGATGCGTCCTATGCTTTTCTTCTGCGCCAATCCACAGTTTTACTGCTTTTAAAAAGTTTAATACAATTAAAGCTAATACTGATCGAATTTGATATCAAAAAAACTCAAACCTCACAGGAACTGTTAATTAGAAGTTCTTACAGTGCCATTACTGCGGGTGTGTGGCCAACTTTCCTTATCGCCCGTGCAATTAAACTACTATGAAAACGTGTACAGTGTTGTGTTTTTGCGATAATAACAGCTTTAAGGGCAAACCGCTACGGTTACCAAAGGGGGTGTGCCCTCGGGACATTAAATGTGAAAAAAAGTACCGATATATTTTCTTCGAATTGAGATAGTGCGCTATAACGTTTCATTAGAACGCAATAAAATGATTTTAATGGTGTAAAATTATTTAATAGTCGTGAGTAGAGTTACACTTCATGAAAGAGTTGAAAGTTTTATGAGTGACTTTGTTGTAGGGTGATATAGATCCTGCCTTCAACGTCGTGGAGGTGACTGAAGAAGCCAAAGCGCTAATTGCATCTATAGAGAATCGGTTGGGGCGGTACATCTGCAGGCTGTGCCGACGTTTGTATAGCGACGCGTTTGCGTTGGCCCAACATCGATGCTCTAGAATAGTTCATATTGAATATCGCTGTCCAGAATGCGATAAGGTAAGCGATCATATTGTTTGAATAAATCTAGTACTTTATAAATATTGTTATTAAAGCTAAATATATATATATATATATTTAAATATAATAGAAATAAAATAATAAAATAACGATAATATTATAAAAATGACAACCGGAAAAAAGAATAAGCGGAAATAACCAGAAATGTTAAAAGTGTATGTATGTATATGTTTTAAGAATAATATAGAAACACTTCAGGATTGCTGTCTTCTTAGTGTCTGTTGAATGTTATCTTCAATGTTGAGGTTCTCTTAATGTCTTCCGTGAAGTATTGCTATATAGGTAGTCTGATACGTACCTATTACAATTACATTGCTTAAAGGAGGTTGGAATCCAGAGCAACCCATATCGGATCGGAGCAGTGAATAAGCTTTTGCCTTTAAAGACCTGTTGTGCCATCTTAAGAATCATCAGCTTTTTTGTGGTGATCAGATTTATTGGCAATATAAATGCGATGTATTTTATTTCTAAGAATAAGTCAATACAGTTGGAAAGCTAGTGATATTACTAACTAGACAAAACTAGTTGAGTTTTGAATGAAAAATAAACAGATCGATGTGCGGTATTCCAAATATCTTATTATACCTAAAATGGTCATCCAAAGGGAAGACCTGTGACTCTGCTGTATGGGCAGTAATTGGATGATTCATGGTGAGGATGCTCATTTAAAATGACTAAAATAAAGTCTACTGTCTTCACCACATCAACAAATCTTAGTAACGTGTTTACGATTCAGATGAAAAATAGTGCATTTAAATTAGAACGCTAGACATCGCAGCCATTAAATGTCATGTTAACCCGTTTTGTTTATTTTTTTCATGTGATGTTTAAACTATAGGTTTTTATCCCTCCCAAAACTGTTACGGCCTTCATATTGTCTATAATACATTAGAGACAGTACGAAAACCATACGTGGCTAAACCTACCTGAAAACTGAACACGACTCACTATGTATGATCGATGATCGGTGCTAATGATTTTTATCAAGTTTTTGTTTGTGTCACAGGGATTTTGGGTTTAATTTTTATTTTCACAGATAAAACTGACATTCTTATATAATTTCTGTGAGCAATGATAAGATGGAATTATATTTAAATTAATAGCTTTTATGTGTCAATAATATAAAAAATCACACAAGCCCAAAAAGGATGATAATTTTGTCTATCTGTATTCAGTTAACAGTTCCATAAACTATTGCATTAACATTATCTATCCCACAAATTTGGTATACCTATATCACATTTTATTCGATAACAATTTAAGTGACCGAAAATATCAATAGCATGAGGCATTCGTGTGGGAATCGTGGGGTAAAACAGTGTCCCGAACATTTGGCATATTTCCATGGGAAGCGGTGGCAAGTGGCTGCAAAATGCTTTTGTTAATTGATATGTTACGTGGTGCGTGACCAGGCTTAATAACAAGCCGAGCCGCTTTACAATAGTGCATCTGTCAAAATAGAACAATTAGAATTTACTGATGTTTTCTCCCCTTGAATTACCTTAAAACAAGTTAGGTATAATTTCCATTTTTTTATTAAAATCTTAAGCAATGATACACTTTTTTGGTTTATGAAATATAATCGTCACATTCTTAATGATTTTCTAATTCTAATGTTTGTTGCCTATTCTTGTTTTTCTTTATTATTTTAGCTCAAGATAGATATTCGAGTTAACATACATATAACTTAAATGGAGAGAATAAAAAAATAGTGCTAAATTCATCTTTTACTCGTCGGCAAAAAATATAAAAAAGTAATCCCAACGCATTACAATTTTACTGCACAGTAATGAATGAGCACTTTAAAATCCCTTTTCAGTTTTTATAGCACAAAGTGGTTTTCAGGTATTCAACTGTCCAGCTAACCTTGCTTCACACAGGCGTTGGCACAAGCCACGGGTGCCGGGGGCTACTAAGCGGCGCGACCCTCCGTCCTCTGACACCGGGCGGTTCCCTTGTCAGCGCTGCGGGAAGATGTTCAGGAGACAGGCGTACTTGCGGAAGCATCTACTAGCTCATGATCAACCTGAGAACGAGGAAAAGGAACCGTCAGCCTTTAGGCAGGTGCATACTGATTACTCCACTTATTCCACGGTGAGTGTCTATGAAATATACTTTAATTATTATTTAAAAATGGATGCAACCAAGTTATTATCCTGTAAGCGGCCATTTGATTAAGTTACTCTACAGATAATGAACAGCTGGTTGAACTTATAGGCACACCTTGATGGCGATATATTTTACAGAAAGGATCTTTTTGTGGGAGGTCTATTAGAAAGAATAGGATAGTAAACTCATTGAAACTATAAAATTAAATATTTATTTAAAAAAGACCAGAAGTTTCGGTAGAAGGGTTGAAGAAGTATCATTGAGGTGTGCCTGTACCAGTTATATCTCTCCTGTGCACAATAGATACAAGGATAACCCCTATAAGGGCATATGACATAGTTTTGTATGTATCTACCCGTAAGGATCCCTTTTTTCAATATTATTTGAAGGCAACGTTTTCCAGTATAGTTTCAAGCAAAAGTGTACAACATTGCTCGAGATCCTAAAAACAAACAAATTTCCAGGAGACTCTCCGAGACGGCAACTTCAACACGTTCTGGAACAAGATCCCGCCCCCACCCCAGGAGCTGAGCTGGGAAGGCGTGGCTACCCGGTGCGCGTCCTCATACTCCTCCGAGGATTCGCGGAGTCTGGATGTCACGGGCTCGGAAGACGAAGGAGGCGGCGGCGGCGACGGGTGACGGCGCGTGCTGCGGCCAGTGCCGCGATTCCCCTCGTACGCGCCTCTGCCAACCTCTTTGTACTACAACTACGGTCACGACAGTCATCTTTATTTTTCTTAAAATGGTTAAAATCGCCGGCTTTCTGGTATGCCAGTAGCTCGAATATCACGCACCCATCGAATTAGCTACGTTTTACATATCTGGAACAAGATCCCGCCCCCACCCCAGGAGCTGAGCTGGGAAGGCGTGGCTATCCGGTGCGCGTCCTCATACTTCTCTGAGGATTCGCGGAATCTGGACGTCACGGCACACGGTGACTGGAAGCTGATTTATTGATTGCCAGTAGCTTAAGTGACGCATATCCATGGATTGAGCTACCAATATTTATCCATGATTAAATTTCACAAAGGCTTCTTGATTATTAACTTTTTAATTAAAATATAGCCATTTTACTGGCAGCTACAAAAAATATCGTTTGCCTGATAGTAAACATTAAACATTATTTATAAATAATATTTATTAAGAATTCATTCATTAAACATCCACAATGAAATATAATGTTAATATCTACTTACATATCTACAATATAACTTAATTGTTTACCAACATTCAATTTGAAACAATACAAACAACATATCGATTAGGGTATTTAGATTATGCTCTATTTTTAATCTCTCAATACTAATTTTCAATTTGTAATTACTATAGTAATTAATTGCTACATCTTTAATTCCTAAATATTGCATTGTAAATATGTTTGTCATTAGACTAATTGTAAATAATTCATTGATCTCCTACAGCAGCATTCCAAAATATGTAGTGATGTTAGACATCTCTATATTACTAGATAGTTATTTAATAATAATGTTATAAATTTAATGTAGCTAATAAACTTTTAACTTATAGTTTTAATATAAAATTTCTACAAGTTCTTTACAGTGCTAATTATTATATTGATACAAAAAACATTATTTGACAGATCTGAATATATTTTTTTATGTTCATATTTTTGGTTCTTAAAATATAAAGATTTTAAATTGTTTTGTAAATTAAAACAAATAAAATAATCAAATAATAGCAATCACGATACAAATAAATATAACTTTTTTAACACAAATTCACTGCACACTATACTATCTGCTATTTCTAAAATATATTAGAAAAGTACAGCCACCAACACCGAGAAATTTGTCTGATATTTTTTTTTCGGTCAAAATATATCACACCACATTTCTATACTAAGTATCGCTGCTCTTTTATTTTGTAAAAAATAATATCGCTATTTTTTTCATTATTTTTTAAAAATTGCAATATTCCATTCTGACAATACATTTAAAACGTCTTAAAACACCCAGTGACAAACCTAAATCATATTCATTACTTCTAAATTCCCAATGCGTTACTTTCAAATACGCTCACTTAAACATCTCTGAAAAAAAAACTGCATTTTTCGTAAATCTTTTGACTTCAATCACATGAGTTCGTTAATAGATATTCTGAATTCAATAGTGTTCTTCAAATAGGTACCATATAAAAGGTCGTGTACTCCGTTCAACAAGGTCTGTATCGGTGCATAAATCGATCGGCTAAGCAGTTGTCACAATCGATCGATTGCACGGGCATATTTTTAGATCCCGACTGGCCATCTCATAAAGTTTTCACTCCATAGCATCGGAATCGCCAGGTCGAATCCAAAGTAGGCCATCTAAATTTACATCATAATTTTCAGTCGATATTTTTACGTTAATTGATTTTTCACATAGTGAATAGGTGCATCGATTGAAAAATGTAAATTATCAAAATTATAATACTATTCTAGTTATTCCTAGTCCGTGCTTAAAATAAGAAAAAAATATTTACACAAAAATAGCTTATATTTACTTAACTTAAGCGTCGAAGATATTCTAGTTTTATTTCTAGTCATTTTATTATAGTAATTTAATTTTTACACTACAAAATATTATTATTTTATAGATCTCATTTTCTAAATGATCTCGAAATTATTCTAGTCAACATCTTTATTTTAATACACAACAACAAAAAATATCTAAGTACACTTAAAATTTTATATTTTTTCGAATTCTAGTCAAATTTAGTCAAAACCTTAATTTTAGTATAATTAAAATGTAAATAAAAGAGACACATTTAAATTGTTTTTTTTTGGAGTATCTAGTCATTAATTTCTAGTCGTTCTAGTCATTGATTTAATATTAAGTTAAAATATTGTGGAAACAGTTCTAGTCATTTTCTTAATTGTCATTCCATTAGGATGGACGTTAGTTAAATAAGCAATCATTTCTAGTCAGTAAAATATTTAACATCAAAGTTTTTGCTTCAGTAAATTTTAGTAACTATCAATTTAATAACCAATATAAAATATAAATATTTCTAACACTCACACCAATTAGCCTAGCCTCAAAGTAAGCACCGAAGGCTTGTGTTATGGTATACTAGGGTAACGGATAGAATACATGTATTGCTACTTATGTAAGTATGTTTATATAGAAAATACATATTAAACATCCATGACTGAAGTACAAATACACGTATTCATCACACAAACATCTGCCCCCACCGGGATTCGATCCCGGGACCTCTCGAGTTGGCGACACCATAAAACCCGGCGTACATACCACTCGGCGACGGAGGTCGTCAATGTATCGATGATCGATCGATTGTGACAACAAAGTGTTTTTCTTAAATTGAGACCAGTATGTGTTTTACATTGTCTAATGTAATAAACCAATATTCTCAAAAAATGTTATTAATAAACTTTCATAACTAGAAACAAACTCAACGGCAACTTGGGCAATTCCAGCACTTCAATTAGTGAAATGAGAATAAAATATTGGATTAAATTTATAATTTTTATTTGCACGTATTATTATATAAATAGAAACGTAGTTATATAAGAGATATTATAATATAAAATATTATATAGAAAAATCTCTATCGAGTGGAATCTAGTCAGTGTGTTCTTCGTAACGCGTTCCAAAGATTTGTAAATAACTAAACGCTATTTATCAATAATATTAGATTTCAATTATGTTGTATGTAATATAATTTCATAGTTATTATATAATTTAATTATAAATCTTTATAAAAATATAATTTTGTAAAAAAAATACTTTTGTGAAAATAACAAAGCAGGAAAGCATCGGACGCTTTTATTTTATTTTATTAGGTTTAATAATTTTAAATTTGTACTTAGGTACATTATTTGCACATTTGGGAGTAGTTTGGTTATTAACTTCACTTCTATTTGTCTTGTCGTACATATATTAGTTCATATTTAGGTAGTTTATATGACATTTTTATTAAACGATCAGACTAATTTATCGAATATTCATAAAATAAAATACTAATTTTTCCTTCCTTAAAATAAATTCCTAAATAATGAATTTGAGAAAAATATGCCCAAGGTTAATAACCTTGTTTCGGATCTGCAAGTAAAACAGAATAGCATAAAAACATAGACACTGTTTTAAACCATGTTTATGCAAATTTTATGATATTTTTATCTCAGTGTCAACGTCCGTATAACTTTAAGTTTGGACAAGTATAAGAAAGAATAGTGCAGAATTGAACCTGGTAATTCCTCACATTAAAATTTAAGAAAACTTAAATTAACATACAATTTTATACGATAGGTAATTTCTGCCGAACCCGTTAGTATTAACATAAAGTAAATTATTTTTATGCGTGTGTCTGTATATCCATCCGCTGATTTCTCCAAGCCACGCAACAGAATTTGATGTCTAATTTTTTAAATGCTAAAAGTTCTTATAATAGTGAATCCTACTAATATTATTAATGTGAAAGTTTGTATGTTTGTTACTCAATCACGCAAAAACTATTGAATGGATATGGATAAAATCTGGCACGCATATAGTTCATGACCTGGATTGAGACATAGGATCTTCCTATCCCGGAAAAGTGTTAGGTTCCTGAGGGATTTTCAAAAAACTAAATCTAACAAGGACCAAGTCGGGGGCGGCCGTTAGCTCAATATAATTTATTTATTTCTACTATGTACGTAAGTACTACTATGCACTCTGAATATAATAAGCAACAGCTTAGTTTCATCTTTGAAATAAGTGTTTGTCATTAAAATAGTCATTATTGTAATTATTAAATTATAAATATTTATATTTTGAAAATGTTTTGATTTTTTTAGCTTTTGCTTAAACGTATGATAATGTCTGTAACTTTTGAAGCTACAGAAAGAAATAATAATTTTATGTCAAACTAGAAAGTACTCTTTGTATATATATAATATTTAGATGTGTGTATACAAAATAATTCTATTATTTACCAATTAAAAGGTTAAAGTGTAAGTATGTTTCTCTTTTACTAAATAAATAGACAATGTGTAGTTATGTATGTAGATATTTATTAAAATATTAAATAGTTATTAAACTACCTTGTGTGTTAATGCTCCTTTCAAGTCGACTGATGATTCCAATAATTTTCAATAACAGTCCCCAGTAAAACTAATTAACGGATCTAGTAAGGTACGGATGGATATTCAAAACACACTATGTTGAGCTAAAGGGAGATATAATCGCATAATGGATCAAGGCTTCATATATACGAGCGGCTCGCAGCCGTCGGCAACAATTTGCAGCCGTCGCCACCTTTCGGCGGTAGTCGTCGACGTATCTACATATATATATATATATATATCAATACTGTCGATCTAAGACCGTATACAGAAAGAAAGCTGGTAGCCTACCAGCGCTTATAGGAACCGGTCCACGCAGGTAACCGGCGCAGGCATTTCTATGGACCAGCACCGACAAGTTCCAACAATCTTCGACACGCACTGATCAGCGCTGGCACCGCCATTTAAAATTAATGCCATTTACACCATTTTTTCATAAAATGGGTTTTCACTGACAAACAAGACCAAAATGTAATAAAATATTTCTTGAGTCATTTTTGTAAGTATAAAATCATTGATCATATTTTTTTTTTTTACTAATAAATGATGGTATTCTCTGAAAATATAATGATATAAAAGAAAAGTTTCCTTTCTCTATTTATAGGATGTATAGCTTTTTCGCATTTTTAAATACACATTTTTTAACAAAACCAAATCATCGTCCGATGAGTTCGACATTTTGCTTCCTCTGCTTCAATCTGCTTCCTTCATGTAACTGTTACCAGTAAGGACCAGCGCTGAGAAGCACTGGTCGGCTTCAAGTTTTCTTTTTGTATACGGCCTAACGAGCCGTCAGCCGTGGACTGCAGCCGTCGAATGGTGGCAACGGCTGCAGATGCGATGCCGTCGGCTGCGAGCCGCTCGTATATATGACACCTTAGTCCACTATGCGATTATTTCTCCCTCTAGCTGAGCATAGGGTGTTTTGAATAAACGTTCTTTGGAAGAATTATTAATTATTTATTAATTTCTTAATTAATACTAAATGAATGCTGAAAAGCTATGTTATCGGCTGAACTATGCTTCTGGAACACAGAGTAATTCTACAATAAAAAGGTACATCTTTTTACCTAAGGGCCAGACACAAACTGAATACGTAGAAAATGTACTTTCCAGGACCCACCGAATCCCAACGCGCACAATCGCATAACATAACATCAATCATACATACATTCATACACGCGCAGTGGATTTGTCATAGCTCAAAAAGATTTAATTATCTAATGACGATTATATATTTGGTGTTTATAAGGTAAGAAGAAACTGATACTTCCTGTGTCAGTGTATGCTTCATTTGACTTTTACAGACGCACTCAGAGAAGCTAATTAACTTTTATGATTGATTAAAGTTGATGTTGTCACTTTCTGTGATTATATAGTACATTAATGGAGCGGCCAGCAAAAGAGGCATTGATGGACGACTCATATTAAGTTTCTTAGGTTTTCATGCACATCACTCATTAAATAAAACTAGTTTTTACGGGTTAATACATGAAACTTTATTTATTTATTGACGTTTCGTAGCCTTTACAGGCTACGTCGTCAGAATCAAACTTTTATTTAATTTGTCGAGCTACCTTCGAAAGACTTTTATTGAGCGTTCGGTTATTTCATTGTTCGATTTTTAAAGTTTTATTGTCTATGTATGAATTTATTATTTAATTTAGTTAATAAAGTATTTTATTTAAAATTCTTTTTTGTAATTTTGAGTTTATTTATTTGGCTCTAACTACCGTAAACTACCACCGGTTCCAAAATTGGGAGACCTTTCTGAAAAGAACCGGCGAAACAAACTCAAGAGATCTCCTTCTTATGTTAAATTATGCAAACAAAAAGAACTAATAGTATCTGATGGTCTTGCAGTGTGTGCTCGGGGTTGGGATTTTATCTCCTGTATAATAGGTTCCCAAGCTGGTGGTATATACCAACCATGTTCCCTATTGAAATTTGGATATTTTTTAATCTCAATAGCCTCGCGCATCATTCGAGGAACGAACCGCCGCTCAGCTGCAAGGATCTGTGTTTTATCAAATCTAATGTAATGGTTTGGTCCCCCTAATGCATGTTCACACACTGCAGACTTATTTTCGCGCCTATGTTTCATATCTGTGATATGTTCTTTTACTCGAGTCCCTATACTCCTCTTTGTTTGCCCGATGTAGGAGAGCCCACAGTCGCATTCAAGTTTGTAGACACCAGCAACTTGAAAGGGTATATTGCACTTGACCGGTCGTAGAAACTGGTTGATCTTCTTTGGCGGCTTGAAGTATGTATTGATTCTTTGGCGGCTTGAAGTATGTATTGATTGAAGCACGCTTCAGAATTCTGCCAATCTTGTCAGTGACTTCTTTCATGTAAGGTAGTATAGCAGGTTGTCGGTCGACTGTGCTAGGTTTGGCGCGACTGTGACGGCGACGTGGTACATTCAGGTTATTATCCTTCAGTACTTGCTCGACATGCTGAAGTTCAGCTGCCAGGTGTTGTTTGTCACAGAGTGTCTGTTTGAGAGAGCACGGGGTGTCTGTGACAAACAACACCTGGCAGCTGAACTTCAGCATAGGGACTCGGGTAAAAGAACATATCGCAGATATGAAACATAGGCGCGAAAATAAGTCTGCAGTGTGTGAACATGCATTAGGGGGACCAAACCATTACATTAGATTTGATAAACCACAGATCCTTGCAGCTGAGCGGCGGTTCGTTCCTCGAATGATGCGCGAGGCTATTGAGATTAAAAAATATCCAAATTTCAATAGGGAAGATGGTTGGTATATACCACCAGCTTGGGAACCTATTATAATGGAGATAAAATCCCAACCCCGAGCAAACACTGCAAGACCATCAGATACTATTAGTTCTTTTTGTTTGCATAATTTAACATAAGAAGGAGATCTCTTGAGTTTGTTTCGCCGGTTCTTCTCAGAAAGGTCTCCCAATTTTGGAACCGGTGTTAGTTTACGGTAGTTAGGGTCAAATAAATAAACTCAAAATTACAAAAAAGAATTTTAAATAAAATACTTTATTAAGTAAATTAAATAATAAATTCATATATAGACAATAAAACTTTAAAAATCGAACAATGAAATAACCGAACGCTCAATAAAAGTCTTTCGAAGGTAGCTCGACAAATTAAATAAAAGTTTGATTCTGACGACGTAGCCTGTAAAGGCTACGAAACGTCAACAAATAAATAAAGTTTCGTGCATTAACCCGTAAAAACTAGTTTTATTTGACTCAAATTAAGTTCATCAATGCCTAGTAATGGCCAAGGCTTGTATTATAGTTATTTTTCTCAAATAATACGCGGAAATTATAATTAAGTAGTGCTTAGGAAGCACTTTTTATTTGAAAATACTGTTGATGAATGTACATTTTTTGCAATTCTAAGTGGATTTATTTCTTCGTCGTCAATTTTCTATTTGCAAGCGCGTTCGAAATTTAAATAAAACCTTTGCTGAGTTACCTCATTCGTTGCCATGTTTCGGAGTAAAAAATCCTTTCATTTTAAATTACACCACAGATAATGAGTTTACTATGTAATTTTTTTGGCCGCTTAACCACGACAGTTATGGATTTTCATACAACTTTTGCCAGGCGCAACTAGCATGTATTTGGTCAGTACAGCAATTCCGATTTATCTCGAGGAAAATATATCGGAATTGAAAATAATAAAATAATGCTGTAAGCATGTTTCAGAAAAATATTTATACAATGCAAACACAGAACACAGAAAGAAAAGAAAGTAAGCATGATTATAAATGTAACAAACTACACACAATAGCGACATCTGTAGATTTATCAATAAAATGACACTCCACTCACCCTCCACAATATGGGGTGAGTTTTACAAGCGCAGCTTCAAATAGGTTGCTCGTCGCACAGTAGAAAACGCCTCAAGAAATGAAAAGATGGCGCTTGTTAACTCTAAATTTTATACTACAACGAAATCACTTCATATTTTTTGTGTCTTGCCACCAGGTAATTCGGTAATCGGGATGGTATTTTAGTGGGTGCTGATATCTAAGCAAAGCGTATTAATGTTGGATTTCAAATCAGAAACACCAACTGTAACTAGCGACATTTACAATAAGGCACTAAAAATATAAAAATATTCTAGAACTTATTTTTAAGCATAAAAATATATGATAACATATTTGTTTCTTAGGTTTTCACGCACATCACTCATTAAATAAAACTTGATTTTCACGCAAATGACTCATTACATAAAACTAATATATAATAACGATGGGGCTGGTATGGAAAATTTGGTCCGAAAGTCCCTTAAAACAATAAATCGCCTAAACAGCCTAGTACACAAGTTTCGGGAAAGGTTGAATTATTTGCTAATTATACTTTGTACATTAGCATATAAGTCTTTGTAACCCTTCTTGAAAAATATAATAATAATAAAATCTCTTATATTATAAAACAAAAGGCAGATGGAGCGCACGGACACGCAATGCGTGGCAACATAGCAAATACGCAGTCAAAAGTTAATATCAATTCGCGTCAATTCACTACAACGCATCGTGATGTGAATACGTCCCGTGAATATTAAGTATTTATCAAAACTCTGTCGCCTTGTTCAAACTTTGTAAAAACTGTTGACAAAGACAAAAAACTATTTACTCTTTACTGTGTAATTGTTATATATTGCGTGTTTCGTGCGCTCAAACTGCCTTTTGCTCTGTAATCTGAGATTAAACTGCAAAATTTAAAAATCAGCATTTTATTTTTCACTTGAGTAATCATCCACTTAGTCAAGGTTTAGACAGGATACCCGACCTGACTAAAGTGTTACCTCTTAAGTTCAGCTGTAACTCTAAACCACAAAGCTGTCCAGTCTTTTAAGAGTTCAGTTACACACGCAGAGACTACAAACATTTATAAGTAAGTTATCCAAATACATCGTATCACCTCGTTTGAAAAACCATCGCCGCCGCGCCGCTGTAAATTTGACAGGAGACCTATGAAACGCAAACTTGCAAAAATATGGTCAAAAAGCCATCCTTTGTCTACTCTATTCATTTTCAAAGTTCAGAGTGACTATTTATCTAAAATGCTCAACAATGATTGACTCTCATGCTAGGTCATCCATGTCGCATGTCAGAAAACAATAACTAATTATAATTCATTGACTGAATTATGCAATTCAGTTTCTTATAACGATAAACCTTTTCGCTCGAATCACAGTTCATTCAATACACTTGACAATGAAGTATATTCTAACTTTTATAATCGTTTACCTGTTCAGAACGCGCGCACATGTTACGAGTAATGTTAAATTCGATTCATCAACCAAATCAGCCATCGATTTTCACGACGAAAATCTTCTAACAAGCAGTGATGAAAATGTAGATGATGATATTAAATACGAAAAGGATTATAGTGGTTACAGATACATGGACGACATAGTGTACGGTTTGAAAACTGAAAATTGGACCAATGAAGATTTACCGTGTTTAAATGAAACCTTACGTTTGATCCGGAGCTTGCAAAATTTCACAACTTGGGCTGTATGGGGTAAGTCCGATGTAGGTTTTTTTGAATGACTTATCAACCTATCAAATACATTAATTTGTGATACTGCTCTATACGTTAGCAAATATAAAATAAACTGTAACATAGCATCATAATGGTAAATTAGGCAGCTGGTGTATCCAATTATTTTTCCATTGCTTGTAATTCGAGTTTAGATATTCTGTTAAAGGGAATTGTGCGTGTGAAGCTTATTTGGTTTTACTCGTTAAACTTTACCTCAATATTGAATATTAGAAGTCAGTACCCTTACCACGAACCATTATCGAATTCAAATAGTTTGCGAATCCGAAAGTCATTGTCTAATTTTGAATGGAAACTTGAACAGCAGCGCCACAAAGGACGTAACAGGAACTAAAAATCAGTACACATTCATTCAAAATTCCATTCTAATAAAATTTACACATGTAATAGGTTGTACTTATGGGGCACCGCGTACTAGGTACCAAGGAATAAATAAGCAAACAATACTACTGATCTTTTGTTTTCACGCCCACTAATCATTAAATAAAACATTTGAACATTTTGGTATCTTATTATTCTTGGCGTTTCGCAAAACTGAAGGTGACTAGTCAAAATATAGCAAATAAATGCTCGTAGTGTAAATCGATTTAATTGAACTTATAATGAACTGGTGGTCGCCCGCGACTTCGTCCGAGTTAACTTTAGTTTTTTGAGAATCCCACAAGACCTAACATTTTATCGGGATAAAAAGTATCTAATGTCTCAATCTAGGTCACTATATGCGTACCAAATTTCAATCAAAATCCGTTCAGTAGTTTTTAAGTGATTGAGTGATATAAGAATGATATACAAGTGACAATTATATGGAACAAAATATCTTCAGAAGCCAAAAAGTTCAAATTATCAAATGTTGTTATATATTTTTAAAATAGGGTTTATGTCAACGATCTCATGTTATATTAAGATGTAAACCAACTTAAAAGCGGTTGGTAGATAAATAATGAAAAACTTTAAATATTTCAAAATTTCTTAATTAGAATGGGACTCCGTGTCGTCACAACCTCTGGGCATATTGTCTGGCAACCGATTCCAACTGGGGAACTTCGACCAATGTATGTCCTCGCCATGGGATACAAATCACCACGAAATAAAAACTCAGTACTGCCTCGCAGAGGTAGCACTTGAGACTACGAACCACGTCAAGAAAAAAACTTTGGATGAAATAGAACCTTATGGAAACGCATTGGATTTGATACAGGTATACAATAATAAGTTTTAAAAAAAAAACCTTTTTGTTTGCTAAGATAATTAGCTGTACCTACTTAGCTTTTGAAAACGTTGATGCTGTAATAGTACCTTATGATATAAGTGCGTATATATTATATTTTATCTCCCAAAGTTAATTTTATTAAGAAAATGTTGGCTACCTTTCTGACATAAAAACTCTTCGCTAAGATTTAAAAAAGTATCGTTTTATTTTTAGACGGAACATAATAAGCCGTGCGTTTTACTTTACATTACCGCACGCGTGTGTAATGTTATAGATTATGATATTGAAATTGGTGCAATAAGAGTCGCTTTGCGAGCAAATGTGTTATAAAATATGTTTATCGAACGTACACAATATTTCTGACAAACGTACACAAATTTTAAAATTAAAGATATTAAAAGAGGGTGATAACTCTCTATGTATAGGTATACTAGCTGACCCAGCGAACTTCGTACCGCCATAAAAAAGTAAGGGTTGGTGGTAGAAGGGTGAAAAGTGAATCTAAACCATTCTCAGATCCCCTTGAACACACACAAAAAATTTCATCAAAATCGGTCCAGTCGTTTAAGAGAAGTTCAGTGACATACACACTCACAGAAGAATTATATATATAAAGATAGTTAAGTTTAGTATTTAAATTTCTATTGCTTATTATTCGTACACCTCATTTTAAACCTTACTAAAAAAGAATAAATTGTTGGTTTGTATACACCGTGAATTTTGAGCTACTCGAGAAACTTATAACACCTCCATACAAAAATATTGATTAATATCGTTTAACAAAATATCATAAAACGGCGCAAATTTGTAAATAACATACCTATTATGGAATTAGTATCCATTTAAAGTACCCAGATCCTTAAAGTAGTTCTATTTTATTCAATTTATAACAAATAAAACTGTGAAGGTTTCATAACTGCATAGAGAGCCAGTTAACGTCGAGATATTTTTTGAAAAAAAAAATAAGAAAATCTTTTTTTTTCGGAAATATAATCTAAATCATTGTCTTAAATTAGCCAGCAGTTCTTAGGTAATTTAAAATTCACGGTGTATAAATACGCACATATCATCTCGAAAACGGATCGATACCGATTGGCCTTTCAACTTGCCGTCAAACAGGCGTCTACCGAACATAAGCATGTAACGTAAATGTATAAGCAGCTCCAGTAAGTCGTCTTGGCCACGGCTAGGCTGAACGCCGTGCTTACAGTCGCCGTCCGCTAGTCAATGGCTAAGCTAGGCGGTACCAGTTATTTTTTATGGGTAGTTCCGACATATCACTCTACCCCATCTGATGTTAAGTGAAGGTGAAATCCAGACGCGAAGATAGCTGATACAGCAGTTCCATCCTCACCCTGCCGGCCTGCATGTTGCTTCTTTTCGCCTCTTTTGAAGGATCCCAGGTTGTAACAGGGAGGGAACACGTGAGCATTCCATTTATGGATACTGCCACAAAGAAATGAGTCACCAAATTTCTTTGTATGCGTTGGAATTGTGGCCACAGTTACACGGTGACAAAGTAGGCCAGCGCGTCTGGTCCTCTTAAGGAAAGGGGAAGGTGGAATAAGAGAGAATAACTCCTCAGAACACTCGCCGTGGTACAGACGATAGAACGCGCTTAGTGACGCCACGTCACGGCGTAATTGAAGAGGCTCGAGGTGTTTAGTCACCTCCTCCTCGTCAATGATGCGGATCGCGCGCCGCTGTAATTTATCCAAAGCATCGAGCAAGCACTTGGCGGAGCCATCCCAGAGATGCGAGCATTATTCCACGAAGGATCGTACTTGCGTTTTGTACAACAAGCACAGTTGATCGGGCGTGAAAAAACGCCGCACCTTGTTCAGGACTCCGTGTTTGCGTGAAGCTGTTTTGACCACGATTTCGATGTAGTCCTTTGGATTCAGGTCAGAGCGAACTTCCATACCAAGCATGGTAATGTTGCTCTGTAGCGCCAGTATTGTGGATTCATTTCGAACGTGATGCCGCGGGAGGGGCGTCATCGAAGGAACGTATGCTAGGCTACGGAGAGAGGTATGTTAAGGTACGGACAGTTGAGCACACACCGCACTGCGGTTCGGAAGTTTGTCCCGAGAGGAGGCGATTATGTTACGATTCCGATTAGAGTGCGTTGCAGTAGGGATTTCCATACAAAGAATACTGAAGAGATCTAGTTGTTACGGCTACGATCCTTTTCTGAGTTGATATATGTGTTACGATCTTAAAATAATATTTGTCAGGATAATTAATCTTCATCATATATTTTCCTTTATTACAGCACAATACTCCCTATTTCCGTCCTCTAAAGTACCTCACTTGGGGAGCATGCGTGCCGGCTTGTTGTCAGCCGCAGTCTGTGGAGAGGTTGATGCGAGTAGTTCTGTCGCGCAGCCACCTCGGCGCCGCCGGCCTACGTCCGGCCATACATGTCAATGAGACTTGTCAGAGACCCGACGAGCCCAAGACATTTGATAGTCCTTTTTATGCATTCGTGTGAGTACCTTAAATTACATCCTTGAAAGTGAGCAACGCACGAGCCATGAACCTCGGTGGATGGCGTTGGAGCAGTGCCGCGCGGAAGCTCTTGCGGAAACCGCACGTACGGTCTGTCTCTAGCGGTTTTTTTAGTTTCTCTAAAATAAAGTTTGGAACAAAAATCCGCCCGAACTCATGCGTTGAGCCACTTAACACATAGTATGAGACATTGCGAGCTCCCGAGAGATAAAAATTTACGAGGCCCTTCTCCTTAGAACGATTTATAAGCATACACTGGTGTGAGAATTCAGTATGAAGGTGGTTCGTTCGTAATTTAAATGTGATGTTAGATAACAAATTCAGTCTTCCTGGTTGGCATTTTACTTTCGGGTATTATGTATCCATATAATTTAATAAACCGGTAATTGCAGATTTTTTAATTGCGTTACATTAACCCAAGTTGGCGGCGGCCTAAAGAAAATTAAATACGTGAGTTGATTACTTGTTCCCTACACAATTGTGTATTTATTTTAATACACACTACATAACAGTTTGTATTTTAATTTTTCTCGTTAAATACTGTTTTCCCAATTATACAATCATGACCTTTATCTTACAACAAAATAAATTGCTCACACGACGAACGTCAAAACGACCCATATTTATTCAACTAGACCTTCATATTATCAATATCATTAAATGGACAATGGCTGAATGACAATCAATTAATCTAAAGAAAATTTTAATAGAATAAATTCCACTCGGTCCCAGCATCAGTATCCCAAGCACGAACAACTAACGAGAAAGTATTCGTATCGTCATGTCAAAGTTTCTATGGAAGCTTTCTCCATAGAAACTTTAACAACAACAACTTAAATTTTGTTCTTACGTCCGGTAAGGACAGTTTCATCATCATCATCATCAGCCTATTAAAGTCCCCACTGCTGGGGCACAGGTTTTCCCTATGGATGGAATAGGGGGGCCATGACCCACCACGCGGGCCCAGTGCGGATTGGCGGGTGCTAACGACTGCAGATGCAGCCGGAACCAACGGCTTAACGTGCCTTCCGAAGCACGGAGAGCCTCGAGATAGAAGATTTTTGGTCACCTGTGCAAAGACCGCGAAAATGGCGAAACTTTCTTAACTTCAATGATCGCAGCCGAACACGTTAACCATCCGCGCCATCGAGCTCCTCTCTCCTCCGGAATAACCCTTAGTGTCCGTAAAACATTGGCGTGGCAATAAGAATACGGATTTATCTGGGTGTGAGTGGTTGGTTCTACGGGTTCGGTTCGGCTTCGGATCCCGGTGTGACAATTGTTTGTATAATAAATACAAGCATCATTTGTAATTTTGTACCCAAGTCATGGCTGTTTATATCCAATTTTCCATACTAATATTAAAAATGCGAAAGTGTGGGTGCCCGCTACTATGGATTCTATATGCTGCCCGTGACTTAGTACCAAGTTAATTAAGTTTATGCTTAATACACTGCTTTATCCTCTTGATTTATAGTCTACTTCCTATTTACCATTTCTTATCATTTTATACCTTTTTTTTTCAGAGTAATGATTGGAATACTATTTGTAGTATGTATAGTTTGTACGATAATTAACAACAAAGGAAATGCAGATTTTCGTAAGAGTAAGTACATACTATAAGACTATTGTTCTAAACATGTTCGCACGCTTTTTCTGCGTACAATGACCTCCTAAAACATGAACTTCCCATAGACGAGAAAATAATACTACAGTTTCTTATTAAAATATTTAGCATTCCGAGAATTTTCGAGAATTTATATTATCAAAATTTTTATTGGAATAACTTTAAGGTTTTTTGTTAAATGATCCCAAATCATAGGGGTAATTTCAATCAATACTCACAACAGATTGCTACTACTGCTAATCTACATAATACCGTCTTTCTAGGAGCTACTAGAAAGTTCACGTATCTGATAACGGAAATATAACAAAATTAGTATTAACTATATAAATATTCCAGTAGCTACTATTCAAAATACTAACATTTTGATCGCGACTAAAAGGCCCTTGGCTGATTATTGCTTTTTTTGTGTAATTAGTTTTATGTTACTTTTTAAGGGTTGTATCATTAGTTCAGACTGCGTCCGTCCGGATAGCGGTAGGTGCAGGTTCAAATCTTGACTGATGCCTGGACCAAGAGTTATTTTTTCTCGTTAAAGAGCATAGTGTTTTGCCGTGTAATTTCAAGCTAACGTCCTCTGGTTACCGTTCAAAGTGAGCGTTAGCTAATAAATACTAATAAATTTTGCAAAGAAACTTAGTGGGTGACGATGGTGGGGTAGTGATTAATACATTTAACAAGAAAATCTCGTTTCTTATGTTTACAATTTTGCACACAGGAAACGTGATTTGCAACGCATTTTGTATCGTTGAAAACGCCAAAGATCTCCTTAAAATGAGAAAAGATGGCATAGAAGTGATATATGGAATCAGATTTCTGACGATCTGTGGCGTCGTGATGTGTCATCAGAGTGGCGCTATTGACGCCGGGCCCACTAGCAATGGAATAAAATTGGATGTAAGTAACAAAAATAATTAATAAAAATATCTTATTTACGAGAAGCTCGATGGCGCAAGTAGTAGCGCTTTCGGCTGCGATCGTTGAAGTTAAGCAACTTTCGCAGTGGTCGGTCATTGCATGGGTGATCAAAAATTTACTATCTCGAGCTCCTTCGTCCTTCGGAAGGTATGTTGAGCCGTTGCTCCCGGCTGCATCTGCAGTCGTTAGCACCACCAATCCGCACTGGACCTCTAAACGAACTGACCTATATTTATACGTATTTTTTATTAATAAATGTGTTAATAACTGCTAACTTTTAGGAAGCTCAAAGAGTAATCGGTTGGTTCGTTCTGCACGACGATCTACTAGTGGACACTTTTTTCCTAATATCAGCATTCCTGGTGGCTAAAGGTATTCTCGAGTATGAAAATATGCCTTCCATCCTTTTGCTGATACTCAGGAGATATGTACGGTAAGCAAGTTCTTACCATCTAGTTATTTATAGTAGAAATTTCTTCTATAGTATGAACGTGTTTTGTAATAAATTAACTATGTATTTAAATATAAACAAATTGAGAACCTTCGCTTTGTAATGGGAAAAAAGAGCGGAGTATAAATTTACTCCTAATAAGCGATTTTCCACTCACCGGCCTGGCCCCGGCACGGCAACGGCACAGCCCTAGACCGGTACCGGCGCCCCGGCGATTATTTTTCCTTTACTCTGATGCCGGTGCCGGTTTACGCCTTGTTTACTGACACAGGCTTCAGCCTGACGACACTTCTAGAAAGCGCTTTTAGTCTGTACCGTCGTCTCATTTTAATACAAAAAAGACGAAATATGCTTTTCTAATTTTCGCCACACGCACGTGGCGCCAATGGAAAATCGCGCAATTTTTATTAAAAAAAAATGCTTCATTACTTAAATTATGTATAATGTTTTCTCGCAAAATGTATTGAAAAACGTTGTATGACATTCGTGCGAATGGGTATTATAAACTCGTGACCATGGTAAGCCCGAGACGTAGTCGAGGGCTATCTGAGTTTTTAGTTTGGTTTACTATCTAGTTATCGACTCAAGATAGCATGTATTAGTGATGTTTTATTTTCTCGTAGATACAGTATAAAGCGCTATGTATCCCTCGAAAGAAAGTACTATTCCCTACTCTGGTGTACTACGTCAAACTACACCCTTGTTGGTAATCGGTCACTTTCTCCCTTCCGGTAAACAATGTACTTACTAAAAATAGTTAGTTAGTAAAAAAACTTAATGTACTGACTGATAAAACCCTTTAAACTCTTTTCAATTAATTTTTAGTTTGGTGGTTGGCCTTGCTGCGGTGATATTCTTTATGGCTGCTGTGATTGAACACACTGGATCTGGACCTCTTTGGAATCGATTCATCGATGTCGAAGCAGATACATGTCGAGAGAATTGGTGGCTCAATTTACTGATGCTGAGCAATTATATTAATGTAAACAATATGGTAAGATTAATTAACTTCTTATCTTCTTCTATCTGACATAAGATTTCCACCCCTTTTTTTTGCTATCCAACAACTTGCAGGAAATAGTTTCTTAATTTTACTTTCGAGGAATCCAATAATTAGTCTTTTCAAGAATTGCAACTGCCGATCAGTAAATTATTACGCCATCTTATAGTCCAAAAAACCTACTCCAATAAATATTTTCAGTAATAGGACGAATATCGTTAATTGAATATTTCCATTTCAAACCTTCTCTCCTTGTGTAATAAGGTGGAAACTTCAAACATTCGAACAATGAACTTCGGCTGATTATTATTTACAGAATATTATTTTTGGTGTATGTCCTTAAAATGAGATTATAGATGGACAACGGTGCACACTGGTTGGTGCAACGGTAGCGATTTTTAAAACAAAAAATAAACTGTAGGTGAAAATATATGAAGCCAGTCGAGTATGCGTCATATACTTTCCTTGGGACACCCAGGAGGTGCTGACGGGATTATGTGAGGTTAATGCTCCTTCCTTCTTCTTAACCACTCAGCTAGCCCGAAGGACTAGCAGAAATAGGCTCGATTTATCGTCTAAAGCTTTGGTAGAATGTTAACGTATTTGTTACCATTTCAGTGCCTTATAGTGAGCTGGTATATACCATGCGACTTTCACTATTACGTGATCGTGGTGATTGTCTTCGCTCTGTATAAACGGTGCTCTAAGCTCGGTGTGATCAGTGCCATCATCCTGACCGCAGCATCTGTCATCATACCGGGCATCGTTAACTATGCCAACAAGCTTCATGCCATACAGCTGTTCACGCATGAGTAAGTTTGATTCTTTTAAATTTTCTAAGGATGTTGATATTTTACAATGTTTAGAGGTGATTTACACGCTCTGCGGTAGTTTTACAATTGAACTGCTACGGAGGGCACGTAGCTCTTAGTTCTAACTCCACTGTCCTCCAACTGTATGAACAATAACAATAACAGGATTAACATTTTAATTTGACTTTAAATGTATCTACTTAAGATATAAGTAAAGATTATTATTTTTTGTTTGTGTATTTATTTATTTTTTAATTATCGACAATTTATATTTGTTATTTTTAAGCAGGTAACTGCTTGTTGCTTAAATCTAAAGAAAATATAACTATAGAAAATTCCACGCGGACCAGGCAGCAGACAGGACTCAAACCCGCACCCCTTCGCTAGCCGGGCGAATGCTATGCTAATGCAATTATGCCTTTTTTTCTAGTTATATTTTCTTTATACATTTGTAAAAATATAGCATAAGTTATCAATTTCTAGGGTATTTTCCGAAATAAAAGGTGTCGTCAATTACTTATATTCATTAGGTTTGTAGAATCTTATTCTCATAAAAAACAAAAAAGTTCATTGAGTGATGTTTTAACATCGCAAGTGTAATAGGCTATGGTGGATTGTTTTACTTAATACCAATAATTGAAACCCCGAATCACTATATCTCTCAAGAATATTATTCCTAATATTTGTAGCGCGAATGCACACTATCCCTAATAACTTTAGAATTGGTATTATGTTTCTCGCATTTTGGTATTATGGTCACAACACTAACCTAACCTAGTGTGAAGTATCACCACTTGGGCCCTGGAAGTACAGTTTAGCTCGCCTCAAAGTTATATTAGGGATAGCGTGCATTCGGAATCGAAATATTAGGTATACAGAGTTATAGGTCTAAAGTTATTAGGAATAGCGTGCATTCGGGCTAAAAATATTAGGAATAATGTTCTTTAGAGATATAGTGATTCGGGGTTTCAATTATTGGTATTAAGTATAACAGTGGCTTTGGTGGCTGCTTAACATCAGGCGGGCCATATGAATGTTTACCACCCTTTTGACATAAAATAAAAATATCCATCTACAGATTTCGTGCGGACCCCCGTGGGAATCAGCAATTTAGCTTGACATATGTAAAGACTCACACCAGGGCCGCGTCTTATGCAGTTGGATTCTTTGCTGGATGTTGGTTCATCAAATATAAAGCGAAGGAAAACTTCCGAATCTCACAGGTAACAATTACATATATCATTATTTTGCCATACTTACCTATTTTGTTGAGAAGTTCTGTTTTCAATTATACTAACATTGTTTTCTTTCGATTTTAGGCGAGATCCTTGACGTATTTGTGTGCAGCATTTGCAGTTATGGTATTCATCGCTTTCCTCGGAGTATCTTACCAGCTCAGGAGCTACTCAGAGCTGGAGGGGCACCTGTACGCAGCCCTGAACAGGCCTATATGGGCGGCAGGAGTAGCACTGATCATACTTACATGTTCCTTCGGGCAAGTCCGTAAGTATTGTTTTATAATGTTGCTTGCAGTAGAACTAATCCCCAAATTCTATAGCATCGTCGCTCACATATCTACTTTAATTAATTTGGTGTTAGATTAGATATTTTCAATCTTAAATGAATTTATTAATAATACACTTAATTAGCAAGCAAGCATGCAACTCGCCTGATGGTAAACGGTTATCGCAGCCTATATAGATGCTTGCAATAAAACAGAATCAACACGCACTCACGTGTAGCCGACCTTTCAAAATCTTTTCACGTCATTTTTTAAGAACCTCTTTAACCCCTAGGTTGAACTGTGACTGGAAGTTCATCCCACAATCCTATTTTGCGAAGCGGAAAATAACTTCGATCTAATTAACTTCTCGCTGATGTGTGTGGTGGCTATATGGCATCATAATGTCGGAACACAGTCTATTATAAAAGGGATAACACAAAGAGATGCAAAATCTCAGTATCACCTGTAAGATCGGGATTATCGATACGACAATCCTCAAAGCATATCTTGGAGTCAAAAGGATTAAACTGGTACCCAGGTGATCCAGCCCAAACATATATTACGCAGTATTACGCCATGTGAGGGCGAACTTGTAACTTATAAATTAAAGCAAACCATCAACTGGTTTAAGATGTGTTTTTTCAATACTTTAATGCAAATCTCTACGTTTTGGATCCTTTGCAGGCTCTCATCTCAAGGTTATGCTAACATCATACAGGCTCCGAAACGTAAAGATATGTATAAAAGTATTTAAACAGGCCAAGTGCGTGGCGTGCCAGGCACAGCATAGCGTTCACTAGTTGCCCGTTTTCTTTTCAATGCAAGGTCTTAAGCATTAAATTACTTCATCGAAGTCACTTTTAATGTTTATTCTAAAAAAAAAATATTAGGTAACTTTCCTAATACGTCTTCATCGTAATAACTTTTTTTCTAGATTTTCGAAGCTAATAGTTTAGCTTTTACGCCCTACTCGAACAAAAATTAGTAATTTAAAGTTTAATATTTCGCACACGGATCCCTAAACCGAAAAATAGTCTTAGCGACCCCTAAGTTTTTAAAGGACCTATTCAAAGATAACTCACACGATGGGGAGCTACCCATAAAATGTTTTCTTCAAAATTTTATTCTACCACTTAGTCGGCGTGATTGATATACATACCTCCACAAAACTACAACTCTCTAGGGCCGACAGTCTCTAAGCAAAACCTTGGACGGATAGACAAACAGACAGACATGACAAAATTGATAAGGGTTCCTTGTCAGCACTACGGAACCCTAAAAACGCATCTTAACCCCGTTGCAGCAATGTTTTATTTAAAAAGTGGTGTACGTGAAAACATAAGAAATAAATAGTTATAAAGAACTTAGCAGTTTCAGTTGCAAAGTGACAGACGGCTTCGCCCTATTATACAGCAATGAAATCGCTATAGGAATTTATTCTAAACGTTAAAAGAAGTAAATATCTGAAAACGGCACACTATTTCCGACATAATTGACTTTTCTCTAAACAATCATCATAGCTACTCGGGATGATTTAGGTTCTAAAGATATCCTATACATTTAAATATGATTTTATGAGTGTCGCTTCTCTTATTTATATTATCGGCATTAACTGTCAGACTACAGTGGAGTTTGACAGTAGTCTGACAGTTAATGCCGATATATCGCTTTATCATATCCCGTTTCGGTGGTCATGTTAGAGAGGCTGGTTTATAAGATAACATTTAAGTTTGGATATAACAGTATAAATTTCGTATTCTTGTGGCTTATAATTGTTTTGCATTCATTCTAGCTCTGGTGACTGGTTTCCTAAAATGGTATCCATGGGTTCCCCTCAGCCGGTTGGCGTACGGCATATACCTGGTCCACTTCATCATCATCATGAGAAACGTCGCCATCGCCAGAAATCCCGAGTACTACGACAGTTTTAGTGTTGTGAGTTTTTTTAATACGCAGTATATAAAACAGCTATCTACGAATGAAACAAAACGGAAATTAAAACAAGAAGAAATACATAAGGATAGGAGGTAAACATTGAGAAGCTCGATGGCGTAGGTGGCTAGCGCGTCCGGCTGCGATCGTCGAAATTAAGCAACTTTCGCAATGGTCGGTCATTGGATGGGTCACCAAAAATCTTTTATCTCGAGTTCCGCCGAGCTTCGGAAGGCACGTTAAGCAGTTGGTCCTGGTTGCATCTGCAGTCGTTAGCACCCGCCAATCCGCACTGGGCCCGCGTGGCCCAATCTCCATATTCCATCCATAGGGAAGGCCTGTGTCCCAGCAGTGGGGACATTATTAGGCTAACCAGCAAACAATAATAAAGTCGAGCAAAAAACGCTGAAAAAATAACGTTTCAAATATTATTATAGGCCCATTTTAATCCTTCGAATATTATAAACTTGAAAGTTTGTATATTTGTAACGCTCGAATTAGAGCGCCCGTCTGGGGAAGTAACCGTTACCTTATAGAAGATCACAGTAAAATAACACTACAAAACATATTCTTTTTATTTTTTAAGCTTGTAATTGCTTGATGTTTAAATCTAAAGAAAATATAAGTAGAAAAATTCCACACTTACTACAATGCGAAGAGATGGCGCTGCCTTGCAGCTTAAGAATAGCTAGAGGAATTTCGACGCAGCCGTCAGGGCCGCGGTAGCATAATTGGTCAGTGCATTCGCCCGGATTGCGAAGGATGCGGGTTCGAGTCCCGTCTGCTAGCTTTTGTTAGTAATATTCCTTTTAGATTTAAACTACCTACATAATATATAATAAAAAAAGGAGGTCCTCATCACTCGACATGATTACGAATAAAATATTAGAGAAGGCCGAGGCGACGCAAATCGTCCGATTTGCATTGCATTGTTCCTTGAGGACGTACATGTCATTAAAATCGTCAATCGACTTGCTAACGCTCGCATTGCATCACTTCATGAGTGAAGTCCCTAAAGCCTCGATGACACGGGGCGAGTTTACAAGCTACAAGCCAGCGAGTTCGCTAGCAGTTTATTAACTCGCCCCGTGTCATCGGCTTTTTTACCATTTGCTGCTCGATGATACGGGGCGAGTTTACAAGCTACTAGCGAACTCGCTGGCTTGTAGCTTGTAAACTTGCCCCGAGTAATCGAGGCTTAAGTAGGTTGTTAAAAAGAGATAAAACAGAAACAGACTTAATAGTGTACGATCCCCAGGCCCATACTTATTATCTGATGGACTAAATATGGAGAATCGAGTAGTATTAGTGTGTACAATGAACGTATACATACTCGCTAACTTGTTCTGTGAGCCAATTCTCAGGTATTAAGTGGCACAGGTACGTAAAATTGTACTTACTCACTTTACTTACAGTCTGAGGACTGATTCTTACGAATGTTGCAAATAAATAAATATTTCTTACACTATAGGCTTATGTTATGAGATGCTAGGGTGACGGAGAGAATACAGAATATATAAATATTTTTATATAGAAATATACCCAGTCAGGTCAAAAATTCTGTCACATGTTTAATATAAAATAATTGAACCATTTATATACCAAAATGAACTTAACAAAATATAGATTCTTATGATAATAAAGTTTATTCAAAATGACCTCCGTGATTTTAAAAACAGGCCTTCAATCTGCGCAGCCAGTCATCTATCGCAGCACAAACGAGGTCCATGTCAATATCGGCGGCTGCCTTAATCAAGGATATCTTGAGTAACTCCAAATTGGGATGAGGTTTTGAGCACGCCTTTTCCTCCAAGTGTTGCCATATCTTGTAATCTAACGGACTCAAATCTGGACTGGAGGAAGGCCAGTCTTCGTGCCGGATGAAGTCGATTTCACGCGAGACAACGAGACGCGCCGCCAACCAGTCTTGTGTGCTCTTCGCTCTATGAGCTGGCGCCGAATCTTGTTGGAATACCCAGTGCCTGTTATTGAACATGGTATGAGAAACAGGTTGCACAAGTTTTGTCAGGACTGTATTGTGATACACAACTGCATTCGTTTTTACACCTTTCTCACAAAAATGTACCTCTGTTAAGCCCCAATAAGAAACTCCCAACCATACCATGAGCGAGGATGGAAAATGACCTCGTTGGACACGCGGAATACTGTTACTCTCTTCTTCCCTACTGTGTGCATACACCTTATCATTTTGTTTGATGTAGCTCTCTTCTACGGTAAAAATTTTTTCATCCGAAAAAAGAATTTCCCGATATTTTTTTCCCGCGTACCGCTTCAACAAAGCGCGGCATCTCTTCAGTCTCAGGTCCATTAGACGAGCATTGAAACGATGTTCTTCGATATGCACGAAGCCCTAAGTCTTCATTTAACACCCTTTTCACCGTGGTTCTGCTTAACCCCATCTGAAGGGCCAACAGTTTCTGTTTATGTTTGGGATTTCTTTGAATTCGCGCCTTCACAGCTTTTATCACTGCTGGAGTCCTAACAGACCGAGAACGACCACTTCTTGACCTGTCATCTACACTAGAGTCTTCATTGTATCGTTTGATGGTACGATAAATGAATCTTTTGGTTATATATTTAAAATTTTCAGTATGTCAAAAAATTGAATTGGCGCGTTACCGCAACGACGCAACGCAATAACTGCAACACGGTCTTCTTTAAGCGTCCACTCCATATTTAAAAATAAGTAAAATTCTGAAAAGTATACATTTTTATTTTCATGAACAATTCGAATTCAATAAACTTTATTGTGGCCAGCATTCTAAAAGAAAAGTTTTTACTGTGTGACAATATTTAATATAATACTTATGACCTGACTGTGTATATAAACATCCATGACTAAGGTACAAATGCTCGTATTCATCATACTAATTTGCCCCCACCGGGATTCGAACCCGGGATCTCTCGAGTAGGCGACGACACCATGAAACCCTGCGTATATACCACTCGGCCACGGAGGTAGTCAAACTTCCCGGATGTTGTAGAGAATGTTGTCGGAAGTAAAAAAATACAAACTTACAATCTGGGATCTTTAAATCTAAAGAACCTAAGTCAAGTAATCGAAGCTGCCACCAGGGCCGTGGTAGCATAATGGTCAATGCATTCACCCGGATAGCGAAGGATGCGGGTTCGAGTCCCGTCCGCTGCCTGGTCCGCGTGGATTTTTTTCTAGTAAACTTTTCTTTAGATTTAAACATCTAGCAGTTAAATGCTTAAAAAATAAATAAAATCGTAATCTGGGATCTGTTAGTTTTCTGTAAGAGGGTAATATTAGGTATATTTTGTAAGCTGCCAGATCAATCGTAGGGGCCAAAAATTTCACTGTGAGAAAGGGCGCGCTCTTTGTAATTAAGTACCTTTAGAAAATAGCTTTATTAAAGCTGTCTTATCAATAGCGTAAAGGAAGCCTTTAACAAGGTTAAAATCTTTTTTTTCTGGCTTCTTATCAAAATTATTGCAGAAAATAAGTAAGTTTGTGTTTTTAGTTTAGTGTCTGGCAATAAATACTGCCGATAGAAGATGTCTGGCAGTATTTATTAAAATTGTGTATAATATTCTCTACAGCATACGCATGATGAACGACGTACCTAAGAATTGGCTCACACTACACTTCTACTCGATTATCCATATTTTGTCCATCAGAAAATAAGAAAGGTCGAATGCAAAATTTTCTTTTAACACTTCATTGCTCTATCAACGAGGCTAATCACTTCAAGACAATTAAAATAATGATTGCGTGAAGTCAAATTAATTACCTACCTGCTAACCTTCACCCTAATGTAAGGTTCATCGTATCAGTGAATCATAGTATTTGTTTACCATAGAATCTTCTACTATACTTACTAATTATCAAGATTTATTATTTGGAATCAATCATGCTAATGTAAGAGAAACATGCAATATCTACGCTAGCTTCAAACGTTTACTGGCGGATAAAAAACAGTAGTCATCTCATCATCATCATCAGCCTATTAATGTCCCCACTGCTGGGGCACAGGCCTTCCCCATGGATGGAACAGGGAGATTGGGCCATGCCCCACCACGCGGGCCTAGTGCGGGTTGGTGGGTGCTAAAGACTGCAGATGCAGCCAGGACCAACGGCTTAACGTGCCTTTCGAAGCACGGAGGAGCTCGAGATAGTAAATTTTCGTTCACCCATCCAATGACCGACCACTGCGAAAGTTGCTTAAAATCAACAATCGCAGCTGAACGCGTTAACCACTTGCGCCATCGAGCTCCTCCTATAAGTCGTCTATTGGAAAAAAATAGACCTTTTTAGGGTTCCGTACGTTCTCAAAAGGAAAAAACGGAACCCTCATAGGATCACTCGATTGTCTGTCACAGTCGATTTGCTCGGAATCTACTGCACCTATCAAGTTGAAATTTGGTACATACATGTATATCTGTGACTCAAACACGGACAAATAAACTAATAATAAAAAGAAACCGAGTATTGGGGTTCCTTTGAGGGGTTTAAATAGAAAATTAAAATTTAGCTAGCCGTGTTATATATCAAATGAAAGGGCTCAATGTAAAGGTTTCAAATATTTTTTTTAAATGCCAAATTAATAGTTTAAAAATAATTTAAGAAAATAGATGAAAATTTACCTATCACCGAAACTACTGCGTCTAAAAATTAGAAAAGAACATGGGATGTAGCTTTTCGCTGAAGTTGATGATTATCTAAACGATCGTAATGCATGGATTGAGTGTTTTTTGTAATTTGTATTCTAATGGATATTAGTCATTTGTCATAATAGTAATGTGTTATTTAATGCCGTTTCCTATTTACTAAAAATATAAAATTAACTATAAATTTTATTATAACTATATTAGTCCAGTCAATGAAGGCAAAAATCAGCTACAACCTCCGATTTCGTTGAACCTCCATCGATTTTCATGAAAATTGGTGAGTAGGTGGGGGATCTCAAGAAACAAAAGTGATATAGTGCCAACTTGCGCTTTTGCCCTGGGGCCAGATGCCACCTCTTCCGGGGGGGTGAATGATGTAATGGAAGGTGACTTCAGTCGTATCTCTGAATTCATTTTTCAACTTGACGACTCTGTATATAATGATACAGGGAGAAAAAAACAGCCCTTGCTAAGTTTCTTGCCGGTTCTTCTCAGTACAAGGTCTCCGCCACCGCCATAGTTTTGTGAACCGATGGCATAGCTTTTTGACCTTCACAAGTGCTTGTAACAGCCTAGACTGATTAAATTATTTTTAAGTTTGACTTTGAATAGTGGTGGCCCGCGCGCCATCTTGCATCTTGTCTAGCTTAATGCTAGCATTTGAGATGGTTATTCGTCTTCAGCATTGCATCCATAATTATCATTATCTCTAATGAATACAAAGGAGAGACTGCAGCTGTCATAATAACAAATATCAAAATTTAATAATAATCTAACATATAAAATTCTCGTGTCACAATGTTAGTTACCATACTCCTCCGTAACGGCTTGACTGATTATTATGAAATTTTATATGCATATTCAGTAGGTCTGAGATTTTTATACCCCTAAGTGATAAGGGTTGTCCACCTCTAACATTTCTTTTTTATTTTCTGGACAATTATTTTTATATAATGTGGCATTAAAAATACAAACAACCCTAAATTTTCACCCTTCTACCACCAGCCCCTATTTTTATGGCGGTACGAAGTTCGCTGGGTCAGCTTGTAGTCATATAAATTGCTAGCATATACATAATTTCTAATTTGGCGAAACTATTGTTTTCAGTTCATAACTTCATTGGGTGTAATTTGCATAAGCATGCTATTTGCTTTGCTCCTTTGGCTTTTTATCGAAGCACCAGCTAACAAACTCTTCGTGTTGTTATTCAAAAAACGGTACGTATTTAGAATAATACGTAATTTATAAAGGCAAGAATCTTCAAAAAAAAATTGTGATCGAACACTACTAATAAATGACTCCACCGCTGATCGCACCCAGGACACATGTTATAGAAGCCAGGATCACTACACGAAGCGGTGGTATAACATGTATCTAAATATTTGTTTTTTCTTTTTTAGAAGTACCGAAAAAAAGGAAGTAAGTGGCAATGAGGTGAAGAATTCAGTGGACATTCCCTACCAAGACACGAGCGGAAAAACCAACAGTGGTTTCATTGACGATAACTTGCCAAACACAATACTGTTTTCTAAAATGTAGTGTTTTACTTAAAGACATATGTACCTGTTATAAAAAAATAGTTTTATTAGATAAGTAATAAATTAAATGCTGTTAGAATTTAAAGTTGTTTTATTTGTATCTCTTCATTTTAATATGTTTATATGTACACAACCTACAAACATAGAGCAACACGACCGACCAGGAGGGGAGAGTGGCAGACCGGCGGACCACGTCATGGGGAGGGGGAAATGCGACCCGCCGGTAACAAAGGGGAAGCCCCCCGAAAGAATTACCTCTGAGGCGTCGGCGCCCGTACGGGTGCCCTCAGAGGGGGGGATGTCCGAGTAGCCTCGGCCGCTCGGACCCCCCGCGGATGGTATCGCCCGCGCTTCCCCCGTCTTCTCCCAGGAGAAGATCCAGGGAGACGTAGGCGACCGGGAGGGGGGAGAGGGACGGGAAGAACTACGCTTCCCCTCCCGGTCCTCCCTTCCAGGAACGGCGGCCCTCCTCATGTGGTTCTGTCCGCAAGGGGAGGGTGGCGGAGGGCTGCAGCTCTCCGCAGCGGATGGGGGGCGGTATGGTGGGCAGTAGGCCGCGTACCCAGCCCCCACGCGCGGGCCTACCTGCGCACGTCTGCGGGGTCCCCGAAATACCGCGGGAGACCCCTGCCGTGGAGCCCCGGCGAGGCCGGGAAGCTGCTGGGTGCGAAGCCGTGGTAGACTCCCTAAACGGGGACCCCGCGGCTTCGCGCTAAGCAGTGTAGAGGTATTCGCAGGACTTTTTTAGCGGATATTATACCGTAAAGCGCCCGTAAGAGTTGCGGGGTCCTCGGTGGGCAGCCACTGGGGGGTTCGTAAGACTTGCGGGAGCCAGGTGTGAGGTCCGTTCGGCGGTGTGCCTCTTAAAGGCGCCGTCGTCTGTAAATAGATTTTTTACCTGCGTATTAAAAAAAAAAAAAGGAGGGGAGTAGGCATTCACACGCCTAGGATGGTACACGCCTGCCTAGAAGATGCCTGTTCACTCTGTCCTTGAAGATGTTGAGCTTGCATTGGGCCAACTCACGTAACAAAACTAGTTGCGCTCGGATTCTCACAAGACTGTATCAAGTCAAAAATGCCAAAATGGTCTGTAAAACATATTTGGAACATCAAAAGTATGGTGTTTTTCACATTTAAGTAGAGTTATTAACATATTATTTATATTTAACCACTTTTATACACAAAATTCATACTATTTACATTTTGTACTTTTTTAACATTTAACTGCTAGATGTTTAAATCTAAAGATTTTTTTTACTAGAAAATATCCACGCGGACCAGGCTGGACCTGGCATCATACTAACTGTTTTTAATGCAACCGTCGGACTTGATATATTTTGGGACGAATAATCAAAAAATCAGAATATTCTCTTTGAATTATTTATTGTTGTACTCTATAGGGGTGGCATATCGATAAATTTACTAACGACCAAAAACATGATTGTATGCATGGACATACATTTTTTTTTACAGTTTTAAATTGATTACTATTAGAGTTCCGTAGTCTTGACAAGGAGCCCTTATAATTTCGTCATGTCCGTCTGTCTGTCTTTCCCTGGTTTGTGTAATTTTGTGTAGATATGTATATCAATCGCGCCGACAAAATAGTAGAATAAAATTTCGATTTTTTTTTAGGGTAGCCTCTCCATATGTTTTTTTATACCCTGTATATACTCCGACTCCGGCAGATATTCCCCTATCATATTGTTTAAATAAAAGATAGAATTTATTTTGTAAAACATTTTATGTACCTTATTATAAAAGTATTTCTTAAAAAATAATCTTTCTTTCTTTATTTTGCTTTTGTATATATGTCTCACTGCATTTTATGAAAAAACAAATAAATATCTGCTCTGCACTCGACAGGCAGCACTGGCAGGGTCACCATGCAATGTGTCGCCTTGGGAAACATCCAAATTAAACAGGTTAAGCGGTCTGACTGTCCTTTATTATGAGTGAAAGTGTTATATATAAAGATGGAGGTGACGTTTACACTATTCACATACTATATAACGATAAACCTTTTCGCTCGAATCACAGTTTATTCAATACACTTGACGATGAAGTATATTTTAGCTTTTCTTATTGTGTCCCTGTTCAGAACGCGCGCGCATGTTACGAATAATATTAAATTCGATTCAACGACCAAATCACCGATCGATTTACACGAGGAAAATCTAACGAGCAGTGATGAAAGTGCAGATGATCAGCAATACGCAAAGGATTACAGTGGTTACAGTTACATGGACGGAATAGTCTACAGTTTGAAAACTGAAAATTGGACCAATGAAGAATTACCGTGTTTGAATGAAACCTTACGCTGGATCCGGAGCTTGCAAAATTTCACAACTTGGGCTGTATGGGGTAATACGATGCAGTGTAGTGTAGCATTTTTTGTAATGATTTATCTACCTATCAAATAAATTAGCGAAACTGCTCCGTACCCCTAGCACGAACCATTATCGAATTCGAATAGTTAACGAGTCCGAAATGTCATTGTCAAATGTGTACTGATTTTTAGTTCTCGATACGTACTTTGTGCCGCTGCTGTTCAAGTTTCCATACAAAATTTGACATTGACATTTTGATTTGCAAACTATTCGAATTCGATAATGGTTCGTGCTAGGGGTACTGTTCGCTTTTATAACTACAGCTAATATTAAATAAACTGTCACTATCCAAGCGGGAAAAATAACAGTATTTTTCCATTGCTTCCAATTAGTATTAGTATTGAATCTAGTGTTTCAAAAATGTATTTATGTAAATTCAATATGTGATACTTAAAATTGTTATTTGCACTCGTAAACTTTTGCAGAATATTGAAAATTACAACACAGTTCTTCATAAAATATATAGTTCTGTTTTCAAAATAACATAATAATACAAAATATACTTAAAATTTATGTTTAAAAAAACATTTTTCATGAGCTGTACATTTTGTACTTTGGCGTTTATTTGGCGCACTTAAAACTTTTATTACGTAATTTTTTTACGTAGTAAATAAGCAATAAATACTGTTTATTTCTTATGTTTTCACTCCCACCAATCATTAAATTAAATACTTTTTGAGCAGGCATAAAGCGTGATTTACTTTTTTTTTAATAATACCTAGTCTAGAGCTAAAGCAATGCCTTTAATAGGTATATCAATAAAATGGCACTAAATCTCATATAAGAAACAGAATTATCTTTAAAAGCCAAAAAGTCCATTTACATATGTTTATCAACTATTTTACAATATCGTTTCATAATGTCAGTGGCCTGTTTCGGAAATATTAGAGCGGCCTGTTTGTATTACTAAACTAATAAACTGATGTTGAACTACTTCCAACTATAAAGCAGTTGGCTAGATAAAGAACACAAAGGGAAAATACTGTGATTAAAAAAAAACTTAAACAGAATGGGACTCCGTGTCATCACAACCTCTGGGTATATTGTCTGGCAACCGATTCCAACTGGGGAACTTCGACCAATGTATGTCCACGCCATGGGACACATATCGCCACGAAATAAAAACTCAGTACTGCCTCGTAGAGGTAGCACTTGAGACAGCGAAACACGTCAAGAAGAAAACTTTGGATGAAATAGAACCTTATGGAAACGTATTGGAATTGATACAGGTTTACAAATTTTAAGTCTATTTTGCTTACTTCGCGTGTTTTAATACAATGAGTGGAACTTGCAAGCTACGTAAGAACACACACTCCCACGGCAGTGCGTTGCTGTGTGAGAATCGCCTAAAGGAACTTAAGAAATATTTGTGATGTATTGATCTTCGTGATATTTTTTTTACATAATGTTACAGCACGAAACACCTCATTTCCGACCTCTGAAGTATCTAACTTGGGGAGCATGCGTGCCTGCTTGTTGTCAGCCGCAGTCTGTGGAGAGGTTGGTGCGAGTGGTTCTATCGCACAGCCACCTCGGCGCCGCCGGCCTGCGCCCACGCATGCACATCCATGAGGCCTGCCAGACACCCGACGAGTCCAAGACATTTGATGGGCCTTTTTATGCATTTGTGTGAGTTCATTTAATTGGGCATTGCGAAGTCCCAGGCGATCGATGTTTGTAAGGAAGGACCCAGGGGATAAAGCTTTGCGAGACCTTTCTAATTAAAGGTATAATAATCTTATTAAATTTCGAAATCATTCACTAGTGTGAATGTTCAGTGTGAAGGTGGTTCAGTTCAGTCAGATGTTAGACGACAATAGAACAAGTTGATTGACTTTTTACTTTAATTCCTACTTAAAAGTTAACAAAAGTATCCGGATACTTAAAAAAGAGATTTATTACAGTTTTTCCTTCATTGTTTAAGATAAACCCGAGGTCACGACGGCCTTGATGTTTTTGTAATGTTATTTTTAGATGCTTTAAGTAAATTTCCTAGTTATTGTTTTATGAAAAATGCTGTTTTTGCCTTTCATTCATTCACTTATGACCTTTACCTGACAACACAACATGTTGCTAAGACGGCGAACGTCACAATGACCCTTGTTTACATACTGAAATGTCATATTATCTAGGTATATCATTAAATAGACAATAACTGAATGACAATAAATTAACTTAATGAAAATTTTACTAGAAGGAACCACTCGGTCCAGGTATGAGACAAGATTCGAACCTACAGCTTCCTCTATCCAGACGGACAATTAATTAAAGGGGTTAGATTAAAACAAAAAGGGAAAATACGGTTGGGGTTACCAACCCAAAATATAATATAGTATCCTATATATATTAGTACCTAATAATAGGATCAAATGCTATATTTCTAAAATAATATATATAGGTAGTAGGCGAAACTACTATATATTGCAAAAAGCAGATTTTTTGCAGTAAAAGTGTTCTTAAAAATAAAAAAAATATTATTAAGGCATGGAAGAGCAAAATATTTTCATTTTAGAAATAAAGTAGATATTTTATCCACATACTATATTTTATTTTCATCTTTTTGCCATCTACTATATTTTTAGAGGTAACAGCTTCCAAAATACTGTATTTGATACAAAAAAAATTGGTAACTAGATACGGTACGCTCATACTAGCATCAAAAAAAATACTCTGACTCAACTACATATGCAACTCTCACACACGCACACTTCTGGGTTTTTTTTTATAGTTTGATGAATGAAGTGTTGCCGTGGCATTTGTTATTTGATCGTCAACTATTTGTGTTTTTTATAAAAGCATCGAAGGCATTGTTTTATCTTTATAACACACAATTTACGCAAAATTTTTATATTGACTGCATATATATCGTGTTTGGATGTCCAATTGTGACTAAAGCGAATTGTGGTCATGCACCACAATTTCAGCGGTTCACTTTTGAGCCGCGAGCGGTTTATCTTTTCTCCCTTTTTGTTTTAATCTAACTTAAAAAGACGAACTCCGTAGTCGGGTCGGTGTGTACGCCGATTTTTTAAAATTTTGCCTACTCTGAAGGTTCGTATCCCAGTGGGGAAAATGTTTGTATGATGAATACGAGTCTTGGCACCTAAGTGTGTTTATATATATGTTTAAATATTTATAAATATTTTCTATGTTTATATATATTTCTATAAAATATACTAATTACAATAATATATGTATCAAACTATTTCCGTTACTCTTTCTGTAAGAAATCATGTTAAAATGGTGGCAAACGAGCATATGGCCCGCCTGATGGGAAGCGGCCACCATAGCATATTTATAAAGCGAGTGATATTTTTTATACTTGCAATACAAAAAATAACACTCGCGCCCGTTATCTACCCTGGCCCACTCTACACCTACCCCTTGGAGCTCTAGAACCCCACCGATAGAAACACCACCAAAAGGAAGAGTTATTTAACTGTGGTCTTCTGTAAGGTAGAGCTTGCTTCCCCAAACGTGCGCTCTAATTAAAGCGGAACATCCGGTATACCCTACCTCTCCTATAAATATAGTTATAAGATTTACAAGCAATTGAATTTTTTTTAATCTAACAAAAAAATACGGGTTGATTTCGGATTGTCTAGATCGAAGTGTGACTAACCCTCATTAATGATTAAATCGCAAAATGACTACATATCGTCAGTGGAAAGGCAAAATCGCTTATACGCCACTTTGGTCGAAATTTAGTTATCTAATATATAAAATTCTTGTGTCGCGGTGTTTGTGGTTAAACTCCTCCGAAACAGCTTTCCCGATTCTCATAAAATTTTGTGTGCATATTGGGTAGGTCTGGAAATCGGACAACATCTATTTTTCATCCCCCTAAATGTTAAGGGTAATCCACCCCTAAATTTTTATTTAATTTTAGATAATTTTGTTTTTTAATTTTTTTATGATACATCATACAAAAATGCATACATCCTTAAATTTTCAACTTTCTACCACCAACCCATGGTCAAACTTTTTCCTTATTGTGCCAATATTTACTATCAGCCATACTATAAGATTACTATAATATAAGTCGGACTCACATACGAAGGGTTCCGTGTTCCATGCAACGATATTATTTAATATCATTGGTTCCATACCATCTTAATATGTAAAAGAAGAAACTGACTGACTGAGTGACATATCATCGCACAGCCCAAACCGCTGGGTCTAGAGACTCCAAATTTAGCACGTAGGTTCCTTATGTATGAGGTCTAGGGATGCACTAAGAAAGGATTTTTCAAAATTCACTCCCGAAGGGGTTAAAATAGAGGATGACAGTTATATGAAAAATCTTATTCCTTGAGTTAATAGACTTGAAACTTAGCATAAATACTTATCTCAATACATTATAAAGTTTGTCAGTGTTAGTTTCCCTAAACTACTCCCGGAAAGGGGATTGGGAGGCTGTCGAAGTTTTATATGGATTCATTTAACACGCATTTCGATTAATTCGAAACTTGGTATTTTTACTAAAGACCAGAAATAAAGAATAATTTTTATGAGGGTTTTTGATAATCTACCCCAAAGAGTGTAAAAGAGGATGAAAGTTTATATGAATAGGGGAAGAATCTTATTCTTTGTGTTAATAGACTAAAATCTTGGTACGAACACTTCTCTTAATAAATAATAAAATTTGCCATTTTGGGTTTGCCTAAACTACCCCTAAAGGGGAGACTGGAGGGTGCTGAAGTTTTTATATGAATTAATTTTAACGCAAATTCGATTAACTTGAAACTCAGTATGTATACTTAAGATCAGAAATAAAGAATAACATGTATCTAGATTTTTGAAATTCTACTCATAGAGGGTAAAAAAGTGGATATAAAAATCATATTCCTTGGATTCATAGACTTGAAAGTTGGCGTGTTGGCGTTTCCTAAAATTAGTGGGTTGAGGTGTCGAATTTTTATGTGGATGAATTTAAGCGCGCGGTTCAAAATAGTAAAGACTAATATGATACATGGGCCATGCGGAAGTTTTAATTATAAGTTATACAAAAATTGCTCTAAGAGGTATCCCAGGTCCCTACTTAGTGAAACACAAACCGGGGACGAAAGCTACCCGCAATATAGAAGACGTTCTCCAGACATAGGTGGCTTTATTTTTGACATTAATGGAATGATTAACAACCGCTGGGTAGTTCCATATAATCCAGTTCTTTTGAGAACATTTAATGTGCATATAAACGTCGAGTTCTGTCATTCTGTAAAAACAATAAAATTTGTTTGCAAATAAATAAATAAAGGATACAACCAGGCCACTTTTGCTTTTTAAAACGAAAAAGATGAAGTAAAGATTTACTAAAGTTGGAGGTAAGTACATCTGGAAATACATAGTTCAGAGGCGGAATGGCTCTTGGATTTGATTTATCAACGCCTTCCCACCATGTTTCAGCTGGAAAAGGGGCAAGGAGTATATTTTTGTCAGCAAAACCTCGCTGATAAACTTGCAAACCCACCAAAAACTACACGTCTTGCCTTGTTTGAGTTGTGTCGTACTGATGATGTTGCAAAAACTCTTTTAAATTACCAATACCAGCATATTATGTTTTGATTAAACCACGATTCCAAAAGAGGAAACTTGGAGTGAACGTAGATAAATGGCCTGGCATTGAAAAAGAACATGTTTTGGGCAGAGTGTATACAATACAGGGTGTATTAACAATACGGAATGTTTTCATCTTCGAATGCTACTCCGTGATTTTTGAGGTCCCACGTCATTTGAAGCGTTAAAACAGTGATGGATGTGATGACAAACGATTTATAAGACTAATAAAGTCTTATTGCAAAGCTTTAGGTTTGCTTGAAAACGATGTCAATTGGAATGCAGTATTTACACGAGGCAGCATTGTTTCAATCATCACATATAATACGCGAGCTTTTTACTATCATGTTTGTTTTTCGCCAAGTGTCTAATCCATTAAGTCTGTGGGATGCATTTAAAATTAATTTAGTTTAGTTTTATTTTAAACGACAAATCGAAATGCAGAAAAAACGTGACATAGACCATTTAACAGAACTGTTTAACAAATGTCTGATAGAAATTGAAGAAGTCACTTTAAGTTTAGTAGGGCTTTCCCTAAATATAGAACTGATTCAAGAAATTAGCTAGGATATGCTAGCTTTAGAGGGGTTAGTCAGGAACAACTATGATTTATTAACAGAAGAACAAAAGTTAGTATACGACTAAATAATAAGAAGTTCGAATGCCAGTGAGGGCTAAATTTTCTTTTTAGATTCCACCAGGAGGAACCAGAAAAACCTACCTATTAAAATTGATGTTGGGAAAAATAAGAGTCACACGTGACATTGGATTAGTTGTGGCTTCTTCGGAAATTGCCGCAACACTTTTGCCAGGCGGCCGGACGCATACTCTATCTTAAAGTTGCCACTGAACCTAACAAATGTGGAAACTCCATTATGTAATATTTCAAAAAGAGCAAATTTGCAGAACTATTGAAAAAAATAAAACTATAGCTTGGGATAAAAGTACTATGCGCGTGGGTACACCTGTTGAATTAACAAATTTTAAGCCGCCCAATCTTTGTAACGGCACTAGGTTGCAAGTCAAAGCTTGGCATCGGAACGTAGTAGAAGCCACAATTTCGACCGGACTTGCTCAAGGAGAAACAGTGTTGTACCACGTGTTACACTAATACCAAATGATCTTCCCATTGAATTTAAAAGGTTTTAGTTTTCTCCGAAGGTCTGTTTCACTATAACTATAAATAAGTCGCACATATAAACTCCCAAATTCACCGGAGTAGACCTACGACAGGACTGTTTCTCCACAGTCAGTTCTATATGGCATAGTGCCATGTAATTTTACCTCAAAGTTTAGTTTTATTGCACTTTAACAAGTATAAAGTTCTTAAACATTCCATATGTTTAATTATCACCTTCTATCTTACCTTCTACCATCTACCTTCTGTTTAATATTTAGGTATCCGCCTTGCAATGACAAATTCACAACGAAGTTTAATTTGAGGTAAATAGGAATATAATAAGCGTATCAAAAAGTGGTAAAAGTTCGTGATATGTATACCAGTTGCGTTATATTCAAAGTGTTAAGAACTACTGAACGTTTTACCTACAGCATCGTCAGTGATTACCACAGTATTTCTGTCTTTCAAAGGACTTCAACATTTTTAATCGCTAATTGTTCATTGTCAGACCTTTTACTGTTAACATTGACTTGTGGATACCTTTATGACAGCGGAGAATAATAGGGTTTCGTTAAAAAAACGTTAAATACGACTATTTCTTTGGGGCAAAACAAATGCCTGTGACATAATTGTTATCTTTGGGCCACTTGCCACAAATTTACTAAATCTCAATTTAATTCAAACTAGGTTTAACCCATATTGACATACTTGTATGGAATAAATTTAGTTTAAGGTAAATCAAGATTTACCAAAATTACTGCAAGTGGACTTAAGAGATTTCAAACTATGAATACTTTTTTTTCTAATTAACATGTTATTATTGTTCATTTGTTTGTTGTTTAATTTCCATTACAAAAACACTTCTTTTATAGTAAGGTAGGTAAATTAATGTCTCTTCCCCACCTAATATTAAGTGGTGGTAGATATAGTCCTATGATATAAAGGCTATGATATATTCAAATATTTGAGTTTTAAAATCAGATCAATGATTGTGATAAAATAAATATTTATTTCCTGTTTTGTAATAATTATGTATATACTTATTTTTCAGGGTGACAATTGGAATACTATGTGTAGTATGTATAGTCTGTACGATAATAAACAATAAAGGAACGAGTAAGTACCACGTATTTTAATATACATAGGTGTAGTTAGCATGAACGTTTTTTCTGCACACAACCAGCCGACTCAAAAGTTATTATTGCGTTTTCGGCATGTACTTTTCAACTAAAGTCCTATGCTCAAAGTAATAAGCACGTTCCTTACTATATATTTTTTTAAAACAACTGCTCAATATTTCAACACACTAATGACATCCTCATTGCTAAGTGTTATTATGACTGGAATTAATGTTTTGATGACAAAATTTTTACCAGCTAATGGATTGCTTGAAAGCACCTTGAAAGAAAAACTATTTATTAAAATACATTCAAAATCAAATCAAATTTTAGAATAACATATCATTATTTATTTACAGAACTTTTGTATAAGACTTGATATAATTTGTGAATGTTCAGTGCGAAGGTGGGCTGGTAGTGGAAATTATAGGGGAATCATTGGACAAATCACAAAGTCGCGGTAATAATGGGTGGAAAAAGCGCAAGTCTGAACACTAACTTTTTTACGCAGTCAAACTTCTATAACCGACGTTGGTTTCTGAAAGGGTTCACCAAGAAACGGATCTCACACCTGACCTCTCGCTATTAAAGATCCCGAGTCCCATAGTCCCATGAACATAAGTCAAGCCCCGAGATCCCCACCCCTTACGTCGGTGATAGTTGACCCGCTGCTACATCAGTAAGACCCTCTATAACATAGCCAGGTAGACCTCAAGGCACAATTCCCCCCCATAAGGCGGCTACATATCCAGGACCCCTCTCTCTGAAGACCAAAGAGGGGTCTGAGCTGCCGGGAGGCCGCATAATAGCGGCGGACTCATTTGTGTCCGCTGGCCAATACGGCAATTGTGGCGAGACCAAGTATGGCTCCGATACAGCCACCAGTCCAATGCACTACTACGCCGCCGACTGACACATCAGGTACTACGCGGCGTTGCAGTTGTTTACGTTCACTTGGAGGAGCTCAAGGATTCTGCTGGCCATTGGTTTCCATTGGCTTCTCCGTAGTCGCCGCCAAGGACGTTAGCGGTGGAGTAGGTCGTGTGGACTCAGCCTTTCTTACAGCTGTCATGCGACCCTTAGCCGGCGGGGGCTTACATTTATGACACCCCATATGGTGGTTTGCCGACATTATGACATCTGCACAGACAGCGCATCACTGTGCAATGCCGTCGCCTTGTGACCCTCGGATCCGCAGCGGTAGCACAAACCACTGCGATCTTTGGCGGAGGGGCAACGCTGTACCGGGTGCTCAATTCTGTCCATACAGCAGAAGCACCGCATTGGCTTGGCCTCTATTATATGGACGGAAGCGGAACTCCAACCAATCGACACTCGTCTGAAGTGCGAACGCTACCTAACTTCAAATAGAATAATTATTTAATATTTTACAGAAAGTTGATGAATGTATTTTAATGAATTATAACAAATAATAATGGGATATATATAGCAACTTATTATTTGTAATCATGATGGGGTAAAAATCCGTTGTCCGATTATTCCACACATGTTAAGGCTTCAGCTCTAGCACAGGATTTGGATGGATGTCGATTAATTGATTTTCAACAAAAACTCTTATCTTACGTTTAATTTTGTACACAGAAAATGTAACTTGCAATGCATTCTGTCTCGTTGAAAACTCCAAAGATCTCCTTAAAATGAAAAAAGATGGAATAGAAGTGATATATGGCATCAGGTTTCTGACGATTTGTGGCATCGTGATGTTACATCTGAGTGCCGTCATTGATGCCGGGCCCGTTAGCAATGGAATAAAATTGGATGTAAGTGACAAAAACACAATTTTATCTACGTGGAGGTCGTTGGTGTAGTAGCTCCAGTCATAGGATAGTGACAATAAATTTACTATCTTGTCTTTCTCCGTGCTTCGGAAGACACGCCAAGTCGTTGGTCCCAGCCACTAATCTGTACTGCTGCAGTGCCATTCTGTAAGAACAAACTCACTTTTCACCTCGGAATCTGGGATGATTTAAAATTAAAACACGAGTTTCAAATAAATTTCAAATCACACCGGTGAGACAAGTGAGTTTGTTCTTAAACAGAATAGCGCTGCAGAACGCGCTACGGATGACCCGTTTTCCTTATTTCGTACATTATAGAGAAAGCTGCTAACAGAGGTCACTTAGTTTTAAGCATATTTTAATAAGCTATACTATTATTTTTAAGATCTTCACCGATTTGTTAAATATTATCTCTTTGTATCTGAAAATCAGCGCCACACCTAGTAAGCATGGATAATTGCCAGGCATTTTAAAGATTATTATCCATAAAATTATAACCACTAAATAATTGTAGTATCCTTTATTTACTGAAATCCCTCGGATGTCGATAAAAAACATTGAAAGCTTTGTTAAATCCTTTTGAGAATATTTAAATTCGCGACGCAAAAAGAGAGGTCTTTGTGTTTTTACGTGTGTTGCGTTAAAAGAAAAATAATTCCTCCATCGAAACCAGTTACGAAACTACGGTTTCGAAGAAGGCCGAAGAGGTTTTAAAATGTATTATTATCAACTTTTAGGAAGCTCAAAAAGAAATCGGTTGGTTCGTTCTGCACGACGATCTATTAGTGGACACTTTTTTCCTAATATCAGCATTCCTGTTGGCTAAAGGTATTCTGGAGATTGAAAACAGACCTTCTGTTGTAGTGCTTATAGTCAGGAGATATGTACGGTAAGTAAGTGCCTTATCCTATAATTTTATAAGTAATATCCTTAAATATGAACTTATATTTGTCATAAAAGAACTATTTAAGGATAAAAAAAGTATTCTGACCAATTCGGAAATACTCCTTTTTTATATTGGTAGAAAAAACGGAATGTAATTTTTTCTTCTGATGTATCTTGCACAACTTTTGCACAACACTGGCATGGTAACTGCTCTGCAGCAGAGTAGTTACCATAATATGAGTTAAGAAAATCAAGAGAATTACGATAAAACAAGCTCACGAAAACTCGGAGAATTGAACAAGATACGACGTTTTTATAACACCTGAGCAAGTGTGATCCAGCGCTGAATATTGTGTTAGCACCTCCCGGATGGCTTCACCAAGTACTTATTTGATGTTTTGGATAGGTCTAAACGGCGTGATGTGGGGATGACCTTCAACCTTATTTCTCTACATGTAAGTAGTTACACACGCCGTTATGTAGCTTCATTAAGGGGGTTCCATTGTCTCTTCACACGGCAAATTTTCTAAATGTGGTGTCATTTACTCGGACAGAAGGTCTGAATAATCAAAGGCTATGACTTACATTGCCTATATCGTCGACATATTCTATATTAGCAAAGTCTAAACTTTTGTCGCAGGTAGTTCAGTCGCCTACAATATTTTCCGAAACTACATTGGTAAATATCATTACATACACGTACTTGATTATATTTTTATAAAACGGATAGTTTTTTACAAAAAGTTTATAAAACAACACACATGGTTTGCATGTTTTAATAAACTGGGCACTGACAGTGTTCTGCGACCCTCTTTTTCATCTTTCAAGTATACGAGTGTCGTGCTTAGTAACGCAATAAATTTTCTAAATACTATTAGAATATTAGGGTTCAGGAACTCAGAACTTAAAGAACGAGTGCGGTCATATAAAGATGATCTATCCCTTTGTCTAAAGATTTCGACTTTATGCTGAAAAATCATAGCATTGATTTAATAATTTGCCATTTAGAAAGGAATTGACATTTGACTATAAGAAACATTTTCACTTCAAAGCTTAATATTTCACAAACGGATTCATTATTCAAAACCTTATTTTAAAAATGCCTTGATACCTAATATGTTTCTGACACCTATCTTTGATAATTAAAAAGTAATAATATCCCACTAAACGTATAGAGGGAGGTAACTGAAAAAAATAACATCTTTTTTAATCCATTTTACAACTGTCTATTGCTCATTCACCCATGCCAAATACCAACGAATCTCTAAACTAAGCTGGGGACGGACATAACAAAACTTCATTCTGTTTTAATTTTAGCATTAGAATAAGCATCTCTTGTAGATGCTTATTCTATTTTAGAAACCCTGTATTTTTTTTATAAACGTAATTTACATGAACTTTTAAAAACCTCCTTGTAAAGTGTAACTTGTGAACGTGTAGACTAGTAGAAAATTTACTGCGGTAGTATAAAATAGTCAGTGCATTCGCCTGGATAGCAAAGGGTACGGGTTCGTGTTCAGTCTGCTGCCTGGTCAGCGTGAAATATTTTCTAGTAAAATTTTCTTTACATTTAAACAGTTAAAACTGCTAAATGTTTCAAAATTTTACATTTATGCTTAAAAACTAACTATAATTGCTATTTCTTCTGTCAAATTTTCAATAATTGTAAAGGTATTCATTTGACATTGTGGGTTACTTACAATGCGAAGAGATAGCGCTGCCTTGCAGCCTAAGAAATGCTAGAGGAAATTTGACACGGCCATCAAAGCCGCGGTAACATAATAGGGGTGATGACGGGTTACAGTAAACGAAATTCTATTTAGTCCGTCAGTTAGATGATCACAAAATAATGGACACGTATTTTTCCTTTGGGCAATCAACAAAAAAATGACAAAGTTATAGCGCGTCAAAGTTTGGGAGTAGGGGCTCGTGACGTCACTTTTAAGTGAATTTTCACTTATAAGCGTACTCAAATGTGACGTCATGCGACTTTTAAAATCAATATATCTCTGCAATGTTTATATTATGTGAAAAAAGAACAAATACGTGTCCAATACTTTTTGATAATCTACCTGATAAACGAAGAAAAAAAAATAGTCATCATCCCTATTGTTAGTGCATTCGGCTGGATAGCGAAGGGTGCGGGTTAGAGTCCCGTCTGCTGCCTGATCCCAATGGAGGTGGTGTCGGGGTAAAGTATACGAAATTCTTTTAAGTGCGTCAGTTAAATTATCAGAAAATAATGGACAAATACATTTGATCTTTACATCCAATTAAAAAATTACAGAGTCACTTCTAAGTAAAAATTGTACCAAGACGTGACGTCATGCGACATTTAAATCAATATCTCTGTAATGTTTTGATTATGTGAAAATAGAATAAATACGTGTCCTATACTTTTTTGTAATGTAACTGATAGACGAAGAATTTTTTTTTTGCAATCGTCCCGATTAGTGGGAACATTAGGTAGATGATGAAAAATATGTCTTTTGGCTAGCTTATAAATGTCAAAATTTATTTTTAGGTTGGTGGTTGGCCTAGCTATGGTGATATTCTTTTTAGCTGCTATATTTGAGTACACTGGATCTGGACCTCTTTGGCACCGATACAGCGATGTCGAAGTAGGGGCATGTCGAGAGAATTGGTGGCTCAATTTACTGATGCTAAGCAACTATATCAATGTAAACCAAATGGTAAGATTACTTTTAACTATTTGTAATATTTAAGCACGAAAATTTTAGTGCTTGTCAAGCAATTTGACCGTTTAGAACGAAGCTTGATGCGCTTGACATGCAAACTACGTGATTGACAATGCTTGACAATCATTAAAGTGATTGTCAAGCGGTCTAGAGGTTTGCTTGTCAAGCAAACATTCAGTGTGCTATGGAACGTCATGGAGAGTGCAGGCGAATCAAACAAAAAAAAAAATCAGTATACATCCCAAAGTGTTTAGGAGCTCAATGTCGCAGGTGGTTAGCGAGTTCGGCCTGCGATCGTGAAGTTAAGCTACTTGCGTAATTATAGATATTAACGGGATTGTTACCATGTACCTTCAATTACTCCGAGATCATGGCGCTTGCAACAGTGCCGAAATATCGGAGACTCATAAAAACAAGGTACATGATAACAATCCCGTTAATATCTATAATGTTAGTGACCATGAAAGTATAAAACAATACTTGCATAATGGTTTGTTATTGGATGGATGACCAAAAACTTAATTATCTCAAGCTCCTCCGTACTTAAGATGGCACGTTAAGCCATTGGTCCGGCTGCATCTGCAGTCGTTAGCACCCACCAATCCACACCTAGCCCGCGTACTAGGTCACTGCCCAATCCATCCATAGGGAAGGCATGTACCCCAACAGTGGGGATATTAATATGTGGTTACGATCCATCCCAAAGAGCAGGATGTTCTGAAAATGTATGACTGCCGCCGTGCGAAGCTGAGCATTCCCAACAGCCATCAGCAGAGGCTTGGCTGACTTTAGTATAGAAAATGCTTAGTTGGGGACTAAATAATTGTTGTGACTTATCCGGAACATGATCTTGAAAATTAACATTCGAACTTTTGAATTAATTCTGTCATAATCATAATAACTTCATGGTCATAATTAATAATAGCAAGGTCTATAGACGATAGATTTCTATAGACAATAACTTTACTGGCGATAGTTAGACACACTAAAAGAGGTTGTATATGACGATATATTTGCATGTGCAGCTGAAGAAGCGTTCTTAATTCAAAATTCGAACGGAAATTTTAGCGCATTTTAGTACTAAAGCCACCCGAAGCTTTGTCACGCAGGTGTGGGATAAGCATGAAACTATTGAACAATGTTAATGTGTTTCTTACCATTTCAGTGCCATGTCGTGACCTGGTACACAACATGTGACTTTCATTATTACGTGATCGTGGTGATTGTCTTTGCTCTGTATAAACGTTGCTCGAAGCTCGGTGTGATCAGTGCCATCATCCTGACCGCAGCATCCGTCATCATACCGGGCGTCGTCAACTATGCAAACGACTTTCATCCCATACAACTGTTCACGTATGAGTAAGTATCAACTATTTTTACAATCTTCATAGGTGATTGATATGACGACCTCCGTTGCGCGAGTCGTATGTACGCCGAGTTTTTAAGGTGTCGCCTACAGAGGTTTCGATGGGGAATGTTTGTATGGTGAATACGAGCAGCTCCTGCTACGGTGGGCACTTAAAGCTTCGTCTTGGCCCCGCATGCTGCGCTCATAGGGAAAGGTGGTGTTTCAGCAGTAGGGACAATAGGCTATTTGTTCGTATGCAAAAATAAAGAAACAATAACAAAAGTAACCCTTAAAAAGTATAATATCAATTATTGTCATGTGTATTTAACATAATTATTGGGAGCGATTTCTCTATTCTGAAAAAAATAAGATTCTGAAATACACAACCAAACGGAGTATTTTTTGTGTTTTTTTTTTGCGTCAGTGTTTCAGTTACGTAAACAGGCAAAATGGGTACTTTTATATTAAAATGGCTAGTATTCAGTTTTTCGATTTCTGCTTACTTTTGTTAAAGTTCCTTATTGCACAAAACTTTCTCTTTTATCATTACGACGACGAAAACTCAGTAACTATAGGCTTCCTAGAATCCTTTGATGGGATCCTGTAGACGTTTTTTATATGGGAACTATTTATATCAATTTTGAAAGAGTTACTCATCGTAGTAACTAAGTCACAGAGTTCGTCTTTTGTTTCAATTTTATTAGTAATTATTTTCGTTATGTTTCGTATTTCGATACTGGAACCTCGTAACTTTCGCTCCTTATATTCAACTTTTTCTTCCAAATTCATTATATATTGCTTGTCCTTTTTTCTCTTATTTTCTAAGCGTTCGATACGAGCAATAAATTGATCATATTTACTGGACATTAACTCGACCGATTTTGTGAGCTCTGAATTCGGTTTACAGAATTCAGAGCAACGGCAACACTGTTTATCAGGCATTTGAAACGCTTATTTCATTTAATGGATAACGAGTCAAACATTTGACTTATTGAAGCCATAAGAGTAGTATCCTCCATAATATAGAAAAAAACGAAAACGGGATATTATCCCGTTTTCGTTTCTTGCGTTCAAAGACAGTGTGCAATATATTATGTAAATCCAGTTCGGAACTGCAGCCTAACAACGTTTTATCAGCAATATTTTTGCAGAGTATATTTGCTTCTTTATTAGATTAGGCTTCTATTCCGGGTGAAATACTTGTGGAGGTCTTCTTTGGTGACTGAGGTGGAGTACTTTGGTTAGCGACATGATTGTGATTTTGTGAAATTATCTCGCAGTGTGCGTCCTCGCAGATCACCCAACACACGTAGCACACAAAATCTTAAAACAGTCGTAGTACGGTCAATCGTAGAAACCGTAGTACACGATGCTCGTAGCACTCCGGCCAGATTTAGGCCCGTATTATAGATAGATTCTCAGTGATTAATCTAGTCTTGAGCATAGTTAGAAAGGGATGTAGCTTTATATAGCACATAGCGATCCCTTTCTAACTGTACTCAAGTAAAGATCAACACTTAGTTGTCATTCTGTAATACGGGCCTTAGTCTGTTATTTCGGCACGTTGCTAATATGCTTGATCGGCCGATGCGAACAAAACCACGGCCGCATAAAAGCCGCCAAAGATCTCAACTACGAATCACGCACAAAACGCTCCAAATAAAAAACATAATCACGGACCACATGCAAGCCGCAAGACCTCAGCTTCGTATCATGCACAAAACAAACCAAAAAAATATATATATTATTTTCACGTTTCATTTAATAAGGAACTACACGTCCACTCACTCTACTAGCGCAACTGAAGGGGGGAGGGATATACGCAACAGATAAATGTCAGGACCGACCATTGAATTAAGATTTATATCTTCTTTTGTAGTTGAAGTCAACAACCAAGGCATAATATCATAATATTGAACTTGGTTCTCGTTTCACATTAATATTTTTGATGGGCTCATTGTTTACCAAAAACCAGATTAGTTGTTTCCTTTAATTCCTATGTAGCTGTAAGCTGTATTTTGTAAGTTGTTGCAAATAACCCTAGTTAAGGGCAATGTTGCAGTAAACCCTTTGTATCTCAATAATTTGATTTAAATAATCCGGTTGAATTAACTGATGGGACTTTTCTTTTGCAGATTCCGCTCGAACCCCCGTGGAAATCTGCAATTTAGTGCATCATATATGAAGAGTCACACCAGGGCTGCGTCCTATGCAGTTGGATTCTTCGCTGGATGTTTATTCGTCAAATATAAAGGGAAGGGCAACTTCCGGATCTCACAGGTATTAATAAATTGTATATATACATATCTTACTAGTACTCTATATGAAGTTCGTTACAATACAATGTAGGAAAGTACTACAAAACTTAGCATTAAACTAAACAACATGTATTTAATTATAACTCAATTCAGCTTAAAATAAAATAAAATACTATATACTGGAACAATAAGACTAAAACCTAAAACTAAAAACCTTAAAAAATATAATATAATAACTAAAATATATTATTAAAAGGAGGGACTCCTTAAGCAGGGTTTCGAAGATACTGGCAGCGTTCCCCAAACATTTAAATTAGATTTAATTAAAATTTCGCATGCGACACGCGAGGAAATATTCACACCCACCACCGGAAAGCACAATAAGACTATGGAAACCCATGATAACGGCTTACAAGTAAAATTAGTTTTCGATCTCTTAAGGCCCGTATTACAGAATTACAACTAACTGCTGGTCTTTACTTGAGTACAGTTAGAAAGGGATGTCGCTATATATAGCACATAGGGACATCCCTTTCTAACTATGCTCAAGACTAGATCAGTCTCTGATAATCTTTCTATAATACGGGCCTAAATGTCGTCATGGTCATAAAGTGTTACTGCGTAAGAACACATACGGGCCTTTGATTATTTACTCCTAGATATATCGTGGCAGCGCAGATGACGTTGAAAAAAATATGAGCCAAACGCGGGACTCGTAAGTTGTTCCGAATATGTTTCTGTGACACAACTCAATTAATTTTACCCTACAAACTCGTTTAGGAGTAAACAATAAAAATATAACTACCAACTTTTGAAATATATATTTTTCTTTTTAGGCGAGATCCTTGATATACGTCTGTGCAGCTTTTGCAATTATGTTGATCGTCCCTTCCCTCGGAGTATCTTACCTGCACAGAAGCTACTATGAGCTGGAGGGGCACCTGTACGCAGCCCTGAACAGGCCTATATGGGCGGCAGGAGTCGCACTGCTCATACTTACTTGCTCCTTCGGGCAAGTCCGTAAGTATTAAGTTTTAAGCTGTTGCCTGCACTAGAACTGTTGTTTATTTCTTTTTTTTTCACGCACACAACCTATTAAATAAATCAAATTTAATCGTTCTCGTGAGAATGGAGCCAGTCATTACTGTCGGGGATCTCTTATAATAAGCAATGTTTAGGTTAGGTACATTGCTAGCAGATAGCAGTTTGTTTTTTTTTTTGAAAGGAATGACGTTTTTTTGTTAATTTATCTACACCCATGCTTTAAAACCTGTATTAAAGGTTCTGAAACAGTAAGCTTATTGGCAATATTAAAACATCCAATGTCATAATTTAAAAAATCCACTATAGCACCCGAACGGGTGTTATAATTTTGTACTGAATTTCATAATAACACACTTTTGCTTTTTAAATCTCTTCGTGGCCAAGGGCTTACTCATCAGACAGCCACAATTTTCACTGCGTATTATGAATATAAAAAATGAACATTATTATTTACGCGCGTTTCACTACCACAGCGCCGAAATTTTTCATAAAGTTTAAGTTCTTAGAACGCCCCATTCTTTTATAGAGAATTCATATCATGGGTGTTGATAATGTATGTATATAATTAGGTATTAAAACACTCATGTGATATTATACTATTATCACATTCGCCTTCGTGTGATAAACCCACATTCGTGTTTAAATACCCCCTATTACAGTTTCATAAATATCTATTAATTCATTTTTCATATACGCTTCCGGTTTTTAAGATAACATTAATATTAAAATAAAACCTCATGATTTCGTTCTTTTAAAGGCTGCGATGTAAGATTGTTTTTCTTTTTTTCTAGCTCTGGTGACTGGTTTCCTCAAATGGTATCCATGGGTTCCCCTCAGCCGGTTGGCGTACGGTATATACCTGGTGCACTTCCACATCATATTCAGGAACGTCGCCATCACCAGGAATCCAGAGTACTACGACAATTTAAGTGTTGTGAGTTTTTTACATATTGCAAAAAACATTGCAAAACATTCGAGAATGGAAAAAAAAAGACAAATACATTAAAGCAGTAAAACATCGTCAGCAATAGGGAAGTCTGACTTTCTTCGTCTATAAGTTAGACTATATATAAAAAAGTATTGAACACGTATTATTTACTTTTTCATATAAACTATGCGACTCGTGCTTTAAAATATGGCTTTATTACTGTAGCGTAAAAAAAACCTAGATTTGTAGGACTCTTCAATAACACAGGTAAAAGCCCTTTCACATTTTTTGCAAAAAATCGTAATTTTTGAGCGCCTTACTTACCCCCTTAAAAAAGATTATCAAAAAAAAAACATCTAACCTCCGTGAGTTTTCCCAAAAAATAATGAAGGTTTATCTCGTATTTTGATATTGAATTAAATAGAATTACTATCAAAAATTTTCATAAAACTAATCTACCATCATTGAACTACTGAAATATGTATATATTTTTATAATTTGTTCATTAACACTTATTTTATAAGACTCTAAACGTCACCCGTAAAATGCAATATATACTAGTGCAAATCTACCTACGCATCGATTAGTATGGCAGCGGTGCAATTTTGTAAAAGGGCTCGTAATATCATATATTATGGAAATTACAACACCGATTCTCAGTACAGCACTCTTAATAGTCACTCTTAATAGTAATAGTCACAGAGCAGCATTGAATTTAATTTTGAATAACAACATTGTAGGTGATGATAGAATTAAACGGTTTTTCAAAGAGGTCTATCGGATGAGGACTCTGGCTGCAAGATACATTTTCACATGGGATACTAATATAGTGTTGAACTACTTTTCAAGGTGGATTCTAAATGAAAATCTGAGTCTCGAAAAATTAACGTTGAAGTTAGTTACACTTTTAGCTTTGGTTACTGCGCACAGAGCGCAAACTCTGTCAAAAATTAAAACATCTTATATATAAAATTCTCGTGTCACAATGTTAGTTACCATACTCCTCCGAAACGGCTTGACCGATTTTTATGAAATTTTATATGCATATTCAGTAGGTCTGAGAATGGGCTACTTACATAGTTTTCATACCCCTAAGTGATAAGGGTTGTCCATCCCTACCATTATTTTTTATTTTCTGGACAACTTTTTTTTTATTTATTTTTTATAAATATTCACCCTTCTACCACCAGCCTATTTTTAGGGCGGTACGAAGTTCGCTGGGTCAGCTAGTGTAATATAAAATTATCTCGTCAAAAAAATAAATAAATAAAAACGTCACGATTGAGTACGTCCCAACCAATGTTAACTATCCCCTTTTTCAATTAAAATCCAGCAATATGGGCAGGTAAAGCAATAGAATGCTACATTAAGATCACAGAAAGTCTACGAATTAACACTGTCTATTTTTAAGCTTACGAAAACCTTATAAACCTATTTGTTCGCAGACTATAAGTCGTTGGGTAAAAAGTACTCTAGGCATGAGTGGCATAGATATATCGATAGTTAGTAGCCATAGCACACGTCATGCCTCGACATCAGCTGCACAAAAACTAGGTGTATCCATACACAGAATAAGAATGGCAGCTGGCTGGAGCAAACAATCTAATATTTGCAAAATTTTAAAATTGGCAGTACTAATGGGCCCGGTGAATGTTTTTCCTGCACAATACTTTATAATTATAAGACTGATTAAATTTAACTGTAACAATTTAAAATAGTGATTAAATTGTTTATTAATTAAAATAATATTGAGTGATGACTGTTGAAAGACTGATAATAATCGACTGACATATAATTTATATAAGTTTAAATGATTACTTAAATATTAATTATGCAAAATAATGTTGAGTCACACACATGACTGTTTTGTTAGAATAATACAAAATTATTATAAAAGTTGTTTCCACATAAACAATTATTGGAATTATTTATGTATTTTAGTTATGAAAAAAAATTTTTGAATATTTTACTGTAACTCTCAAAGTCTACATGTATTATATTACTAATCTTGAGGACGAAGCCTAAGTATAATTATGATAGAACTTCACGTACAGGTAAGTTCATTTAATCATCAATTATATCTGCTCCCACCTTTATAACTTGCCGATTGCAAAATTTTCTTTTAACAGATTCGTTGCTCTATCAGCGAGGCTAATCGCTTTAAGCCAATTAAAATAATGATTGCGGAAATTCAAATTCATTATTTACCCAAGAACCTTCACACTTATGTAAGGTTCATCGTATCAGTGAATCATACTATTTGTCTACTACAGAATCTTCTACTATACCTACTTACTAATAGTTCATGTGGAAGTGTTTAAATCTAAAGAAATTTTTACTACAAATAAAAAAACACCGTTCGGGTCTCAGACGGGATTCGAATCCGCATCTTCTGCTACCCGGGCGGACGCATGCTACCAAGACCTTAATGGCTGCGTCGAAATTCCTTTATATATCCGATATTTCTTTGGCTGCAAGGAAGCGCCATATCTTCGCTCTGTAAGTAGCCCACAATCTTAAACGAAATACGATAGAAACAAGTATTGAACATTTGAATGAAGAAATATCAATTGTAGATTATTATATATTTTTTATTATTATATTCTCCCGGATAGCGGAAGATGCAGTTTCGTATCTCGCCTGAAACCTTTTTTTTTTTTTTTTTTATATGGACCAAGCGGATTTTTTTCTAATTATCTTTTCTTTAGATTTAAAATATCTCGTAGTTAAATGCTTTATACATATAAATAAATATAATATTGTGGAAGATATATTTTATGGGATCAACCATGCCAATGAAATAGAAAAATACAATCGTTATAAAATTTCGCTGGCAGATAATAAAAACTTGTAGAACGTAGTAAAAACGGGAGTAGATCTGGGTAGATCCATATTGGAATGAAAATAACAGCGTACTGCGAGACTGCAGCTGTTATATTAACAGAATATCAAAATTAAAAATGAATAGCCATGTTAAATTTTATCTCAAGTGATTCCTGATTTGGCAAAACTATTGTTTTCAGTTCATATCTTCATTGGGCGTAATTTGTTTAAGCATATTATTTGCTTTGCTCCTGTGGCTTTTCATCGAAGCACCAGCGAACAAACTTCTCGTGCTGTTATTGAAAAGACGGTACGTATTTAGAGTAACACGTATTTTTCCTTTCTTCCTAATATTATAAATGTGAAAAATTGTGTGTTAAGCAATCACGCAAAAACTACTTAACGGATTTGGACTGAAATTTGGTATACATGTGTGCGGACACAGTTTATGACCCGGGCCCTATTTCACCAAACCGACTTATTTTGGCGACATATATCATAAAATAATGACCGGCATTTTGTTACAATTGTCAACTATCCGTATCTTACATGGAGGTTAGAGAGAAGGAGAACGTTTTAGGGGGCGATTAATAAGACTAGGAGATTTCTTCAATACATTTATTACACTCTCTCAACACTATTTTATTACATCATCTTATACACAGCTCTTTATAAACTTATCTTATGACCGACCAAACATCTGAACGGTTGAACATGAAGTGTGTCAAATACCAACAGATTGACTGCAGAACAGATTGTCATAAACAAAATTAGCTTAATATTCGAACGTACCATAGACCTTCTACCGTGAAGGTTGAATAAGTAGATAGACAAAAACAAAGGAAACGTTTGCAGCAAAGTTTTGACGCAAATACGCTTCCAGATTCAGACTCGGATGATTCTCAAGTACCGAATATGGTAGTATCACCCACTCTGTCACAGAAAAAGCTGTTTTCTATAGTTAAAAGAGCTGCAACATCCACTCATTTAGATATACCTGGGACCTCTCAGCAAAGTCATCAAAAAGGCGCTGACTAAGGTATATCGTTGACAAAAGAATTACGATCTATAGGAAACAAATAATTGTTCTAAAAAAAGATAACGTGATATTCGAGTAATCCGCAGCAATATTGAATTAAAAAAACCTAAATTTTAAAAAATCCAACGACTAAAGCTGAACTTTGAAAAACTACTGATCTCATTGAAATACCAATTAATATAAGAATATTTTCATAATTATAACAAAATATTATATATTTTTTTAATAATAGTTACTATAATTTTAATTATACAATTATTCTGTGATTTCATTAAAACAAGGAAACTTCTTTTTTATTTTAATATTACATGTTATTTTAAATATGTAATGTTATTAGAAAGTAAATGTTTTATTTTTGTTTAATCATAATTTTATCAAATGGCTTAAAGTAACAAGAATAATAGTCTTGTTATCTTAATTAAGTGTGATATTAAAATAATTATTCTGATTACAAGCTTATATGTCTGAGTTTTATTCTCTTATACATTGTCCCAGTAATTACCATGGATAAGAGAAATAACCATGTTGAAATTTTCATTACCGTGTTCCAAATTGTCATTACCATGTCTCTTAAAAATGTAAACCCTTATAACTTCTTTAATTATTAGTTCACATAAGTTATGATGATATTGATGCTATATACTGTCGATAAAGTGCAAAAAAATAAAGATAAAAGTATATTTTATTTTTTCCCAAAAATGTCTGAAATTGCACCATTCTGAATAAGTACCCTGACGCAAAATGCAATGGTTTTATTTTAACAACTCTTACTTTAAATTACTTATATTTAACAATTAAGACAACACAGACTTCTACTCTCTCAATCATCTAACTCACTCATACATAACATACAAAACAAAACATCAAATATAAACTAAATACAATTATAAAAGTAAACGTGTGATAGAAAACTCGTCTCGAAAAAGTCCCATACCGTTGCATCGTGGAGTGAGACAAGGGGACGTTATTTCCCCGAAATTGTTCACTAATGCAATGGAGAATATGTTCAAGACGCTGAACTAGAAAGGACATGGCATCAACATAAATGGGGAACGCATCTCTTACTTGCGATTTGCAGACGACATCGTCATCATGGCAGAAACCCTGCAATACCTACAACAGATGCTGAATGACCTGGCGGACTCTTCTATACGCATCGGCCTACGGATGAACTTGGATAAAACCAAGGTCATGTTCAATGAACATGTTCTACCGGAACCGATTGCAATACACGGTGCCGTTCTCGAAGTTGTTCAAAAATATGTATACCTCGGGCAGACATTGCAGTTAGGTAGAAACAACTTTGAGGACGAGGTGAATAGAAGAGTTCAGCTAGGTTGGGCAGCGTTTGGGAAGCTACGTCAAGTCCTGACATCGTCGATCCCACAGTGCCTAAAGACGAAAGTCTTCAATCAGTGCGTCCTACCTGTGATAACATACAGAGCCGAGACGTGGACACTGACGGTACGGCTGGTCCACAGGTTCAAAGTCGCTCAGCGCGCTATGGAAAGGGCTATGCTCGGCGTTTCTCTGAAGAATCGCATCAGAAATGAGGTAATCCGACAGAGAACCAGAGTTATCGACATAGCCCACCGGATTAGCAAGTTGAAGTGGCAGTGGGCTGGCCATATTTGCCGAAGAACCGATAACCGTTGGGGTAGACGAGTTCTGGAGTGGAGACCGCGTCTAGGCAAACGTAGCGTAGGACGTCCTCAGGCACGATGGAGTGACGATTTGCGCAAGGTGGCTGGCAGGAGCTGGATGCGAGTAGCCCAAGATCGATCTGAGTGGCGTGCATTTGGAGAGGCCTATGTCCAGTGGACTATGATGGGCTGTTGATGATGATGATGATGATAGAAAACTTAATGCCAATCCCCAAATAGTTTTGTATAAGTAATTATCATATCAAAGTACAAAGTTACTCACCGTTTCATGTCAACACGTTGCCGTTGTTGTAGAACAAAACAAACGACGAGACGAAACAAAGACGTTTTTGAAAAACACTGATTCATTTAGTTTATGCTTTTCACTATTTTTACATATTTCCACACCCCTTACATACTAATTCCCCACATATTGACCAAAAACACAGTTCACTTTTGCCCGCACTTATCACTACCTAACACTCACTCTGATACGAGTTTTCTTTGACACTTCTCAAACTTCACAGGTGGCAAACACTTTGTGAGTATGTCTGCTATCTGCAAACCCGTTGGACAATATTTGACTGTTATTCTGTTTGCATCAATCTGATCTTTTAGATAGTAGTATCTCACATAAGCAAGTGTTTACTCCTTTTATTCATAATTCCTTTCTTCATAAGCCAAATAGCTGACTGGTTGGCCACTTTCATTTCTATTTCTAATATCTCATTGGTCATTTCATATATAAAGTCTCTGTTGAACAGAAGTTCTTTGCGGCATTCTGCTGCGGCATTTATAGCTATAATCTATTTCTAATTTCTCATTGGTCATTTCATATATCAAGTCTCTGTTGAACAGAAGTTGTTTGCGGCATTCTGCTGTGGCATTTATAGCTATAAGCCGTTCCGTTTGTCGTATAGTTCCGACAACGCGTGACAACTAGTTAAGCAGCTAGCTTCACAGCTAGCAAGGCAGCGAGCTGGGCAACTAGCTAGACAGTAAGCTAGGCAATTACCTTGCCAACTATCTAGGCTCGACAGATACATAGCTAACTAGACAACTAGCTAGGCAGCTAGCTGGGCAACTAGCTAGGCAGTTAGCTGGGCAACTAGCTAGGCAGCTAGCTAGGCAAGTAGTTAAGCAGCTAGCAAGGCAACTAGCTTGCCAACTAGCTACACACCTAGCTAGGCAACTAGCTGGACAGTAAGCTAGACAATTAGCTTGCCAACTAGCTAGGCATCTAGTAGGCCAACTAGCTTCACAGCTAGCTATGCAACTAGATAGGCAGCAAGCTGGGCCACTAGTTACGCAACAACTAAGCAGCTAGCTACACAGCTAGCTAGGCAGCTAACTGGGCAACTAGCTAGGAAACTAGCTAACTAGCTAGCTTGGCAACTAGCTTGAGCAGCTAGCTACATAGCTAACTAGACAACTAGCTAGGCAGCTAGTAGGGCAACTTGCTTAACAGCTAGCTATGCAACTAGATAGGCAGCAAGCTGGGCCACTAGTAAGGCAACTAGCTAAGCAGCTAGCTGGGCAACTAGCTAGGCAACTAGTTAAGCAGCTAGCTTCACAGCTAGCTAGCTAGCTAGCAAGGCAGTAAGCTAAGCTAAGCAACTTTTAAAAACCTTTTTAAATTAAAATTTCACCTAATTCTAATGTTTAATTATTACTAATTACTAATAAAATTTAATTTAACTTTTTTTTAACCGCAACTAGAAAAACTACATAGCTAACTAGACAACTAGCTAGGCAGCTTCTAACTAGCTGCTTCTACAGAGCTAACTGTGTTAAGTTCTGTATAATATATACGCACTCCACCGTAACCATAATGCTGTCCACCACTATCTTGAGACAGCACGGCCAGCATTATTGTTTCTCACGTAGACACAAATACTTCCGCTCGGCTGACACAGGCTACCATAAGTATCTCGGCTACGCGCTTGAACAATCCTTCAAAGCAAAAGCCGGCGTATGCCTGAATGTTCGGGCGGATGTTTGTTTTCGCCGTTTAAGCTGCCTGGAAGACCCCTCTTTTTCCATGTTGGCGATACATGTAAACTCTGGCCCTTTGGCCAGAGTCTACGTGTGCCTCTACAGATCCCACACCGGCGACGCTGAGACAACTCGACGGTTTGAACACCATAGGTAGCAGATGATTCCCAGGCGCAATTTCACAACGCAGAACTGGTGTTTTGGGGGGACTTTAACGCCCACCACGGTTTGTAGCTGGAGTCCTCCAAAACTGACCATGCAGGGATCTCTGCCCATGCATTCGCTCTCGCGCATGACTTGACATAACAGGTCGATCCGCCCACCAGGATCCCAGATATAGCAAGTCAAGCGCCTTCTTTACTAGACCTTCTGCTTACGACTCATCCGCAGGAGTATTAAGTTGTGGTTTGAGCCCCACTGGGTTCATCAGATCATTGCCTGATATCTGTCAAGGTGCCACAGGCCAAAACCCTCGACCATTAGTGGTCAAACGCAGGGTATGGCACTATGGGTCGGCAGATTGGGATGGTACTTTGCGTTCGTCCCTTGGAAGCAGCGCTGCTTCAGTGAAAAGGACTTATCGGCCAGCACCGCTATTACTAAGGAGATCGTAATGGGAATGGAGTATTACATTCCACATTCTGATCTCATCAGTAAGGGCACACGTAACCGCTGGTTCAATCGCGACTGTGATGATGCTGTTTCTCGTAAGCAGAACCATATCGTGATTGAATCAGAGGCCGCGCTCTTAACGATCCCGGGGTTGACTCACTGAAAGCTGCCTATGATAGTGCTTCCAAGTCGTATAAGAAGGCTTACATCAGAGCGGATGCCCAGCGTGTAGTACATACTGGCCACGAATTGTTAACGCACCCTACGGGCTCCCGTAGTTTTTGGCGTTTGGCTAAGACAGCACAACTTCTGCCAGCACTCGCTGCCAGATGGGTCACTAGCTCATGAGCCGCAAGCAACTGCCGATTTGTTTGCAAAGCTCTTTACGGCTAACTCCCGAATCAGTGATTGCAATGCACTGCCACCTACACTACCTCATTGTGGCACTGCGATGCCTGACATTCAAATCAGGCAGCATGATGTTCGTGCGGAGTTGCAATCACTCGACGTCCGGAAAGCTAGTGGACCCGATGGCATCCCAGCAGTTGTACTAAAACATTGTGCGGCGGAGTTGTCTCCCGTGCTTACGCGCTTGTACCATCTTTCTTACCTTTTGGGGCGTGTGCCGGAGGCTTGGAGAGATGCTAATGTGCAACCGGTGATCAAAAAAGGGGACCGCTCAGACCCGGTTAACTATCGGCCGTATTAAACTTATTCAAAAAAAAATTGATATAATTTTTCTGACAAATTTTCACTCCTCCCTTTTTTGTGTTATGTCCAGCCCGATATAGTTTGATTCTTCTTCGCAGATTATTAGATCAAAACCTTTTCTTAATGTTTCCACTACATGCACCAAGTCTTCTTCTGTCTCGCCAAGTACTAGTCCATCTTTTTACCGTGAAGGTCGAACGCTTCCCTCGACAGAACGAACGCTACGTGCTTAAGCATCAGCGCGCCGCGCCTGTCCTTGAAAATTTGTAGAATTTATAGTTCATTTTTCAGCCACTAGCCGCGCTGCCGTCGGTAAGTAGTATCTGTGAAGTTAGCTGTTTATGAGTACAAGTAGATGGTTAGTTGAATAATGTACAAATTTTCTTCGCGGCATTGGTCTATTCAAATTAACGCACAACAGCCCACTTTTATTGAGATAACTAAGCGATCACAGCGCCTCACTTGTCCATATTTCTAGGGCACTATTTTCTACAGTGATCGTTCTCCTTATCTCTAACCTCCGTGGTATCTTACTTTAACGACAATTGTGTTGCGAAACAAGGGTAATTTTTTTAAGTCCTCATAATTGTCAAATTGGCAGTAATTCTTGGCATGAAATTGGGCTCTGAGATTTCCGTTAAAATTGTAGTGTTTTCGTTGATAGTTACAAAATGGCGCGCCACGAAAACTTGAAAAGATAAATTCTTAAACAGAACGAATAAATTTCTCTTTTGAAATCATTGATTTTGCATTCAATGAAATCTTAGATCTAACACCACCAGAAAAATTAAATACCAAGCCGTCGTATGTCAGGTGAAATAGGGCACTGTATTAAGACAGGATTTTTATTCCGGTAAAATTTCAGGTTCCTGCGGATTTCTCAAAAAACTAAAGTTAACGCAGAAGAAGTCGTGGGCGGCCGCTAGTAATTTTTAAAATTATAGGGAAAAGAATTGGTGTAAATAAAAAAAAATATTTTTGATTAGAAAAGTTAAAAATTTAGTCCCAAACTAAGTAACAGAAATATTGTACTATGTTAATCAAATCACAGATTAAACTTACATAAATAATAAGCATTTAAACAAAAATGACTGCAGATCGAATATTATGCTTATCCGACAAATAAAAGCCCCCACCGCAATTCGATCCCAGGATACTTTTTTATGTTAAAAGGGGGTGAAACAAGCATACAGCTCCCATGTTGATAAGCGGCAACCAAAACCTATAGGCACTTGCGATACAAAAGATATCACTAGCGCCGTTACCTACCCTGACCTGTTTACCCTGCTGTTCCGACTTTCAGACTTCATAAAACTAGTCAATCATTCATGGGGAAATGTATACAAATATATAATAAACTTCCACTTAATGTAACTGAACTTCCATTACATAAATTTAAACTTCATGTTAAGGAAATTTTAATGAAAAAGGCATATTATTAAGTTCAGCAATATTTAGACGATAAAAAGGTGTGGATACATTCCAATGTGCTCGATTCTCCACTGAAATCTAGAGAAATATCATTAAGTGTATAATTCTTATTCTAAATTGACAATATTGTAAGGAAAGACGTCATGGATCACATCTTTTACATATATTCTTTTATTTCGTAGTAACTACTGGTCTTTTATTTATTTATACTTTTAAAATTAATTAACTATTAAAGACCTGATGTGGGTTATGACTCTTTCCAAATAAATAAAAATAGAAAATGTAAAGGGAGGACAAAACTTGCTGAGTTTCTTGCCGGTTCTTCTCAGACAAGGCCTTCTGGTAGACTCTTGAACCGATGACATCAAATTTGACTTTCATAAGTGTGCAAATTGTACCTAAATGAATTCAGAAATTTTAACTTTGACTTTGACTTTGACTCAATCCCCCACCCCGTGTTCCTTGGAACTTTATTCACCGACACAAACACAACACCACCAAAAGGAAGATAGTGTTCTTTTACTGTAGTCCTTTGTAAAGTAAAACTTGGCGTAGAAGGCAGAATTGCCACCATTATACTCACCGGCAGTATAAGGTATCTTAATGTTTACATATTTATTTATTTTTCTTTTTCAGAACTAACGAAGGAAGGGGAAAAAACGGCAACGAAGTGAAGAATCCAGTGGACATTCCTTCCGATCAGACGAGCGGAAAAACCAACAATGGTTACATTGATGATAACTTCCCAAACATAATACAGTTTTCTAAATTATAATGTTTTTTAAGAAGTACTTGTTATAAGAAAATATAATTATATGTAGGTAATAAATAAATTTTTATTAGCATTTAAAGTAGATTTATTTCTAACTTTATTACTTTAGGTACTTATTTTTTTTGTACACATACAATTAACGCAGCAATTAGCTTTTGTAGATATACAGTAATACTTAACATATTTTTTTTATTCATGAAATAATTTGTTACTGTAAAAAGTCGTACTTATATACGACGTAAGACGACGATGACGTAAACGTAAAGTATCTTTTGTGTCCTTTCTACAGCCTTATTTCCCAAAATCCTTTTGTGCAATCTAATAGTGCAAAGTATTTAGAACCTTTAATATCAGTTGAAATCTCTTCTAAAGTGTTAAATGGAAAATGACGTCTCAAAATGTTTTTGTTATTGATTTGATCTTATTCTTATCAGATCATCTATACTGATTCTTATTTTACCTTGTTGTTTAACAAATACTATTGGACTCACAGAAGGATTAGTCTCGGTTACTGGTTTTAATAACATTTAACTTAACCATCCTGTCATGTTCTTACTTAACCTCATCTTTTATAGCAAGTAGAATTCTTCTCGAAGAAAAATTCATATTCATAATTCTTATAGTATAGAGTATAGAACGATCAATTTCGAAAGCACTCTGTACGTACCATCACTTTGCAAAATTTTACTCTCGTTGCCAAAGATGACAGAACATGGAGCTTCTGTAACTTTGAAAAGGACGCGGTTCGTACTCAACAAGACAGGAGATCTCGTTATGATTGCAGAAAAATGCCAAAATAGCGGACTTTACTATGTCAAGTTGCAAACCATCGAACGAAATTACGTGGCAACGTCTCAAACAACTTCAAGCAATACGGTAAAAAACTCCCTACTGGAATGACATAAAAAGCCCAAGCTTTTCTCGTTCATATGTCCAAACATATGAACGAGAAAGACCTCCGTCTAGCGCTTAATAACGAGACTTTGATCGGGTTAAACTTTGACAGAACAGAGTCACTATCCAACTGCGAAGCATGCATACGAGCAAAAATGACGCGCATACCAAGTCCTCCACAAAGCACAACTCCTCGAACAACTGAACGTCTGGAGATTGTTCACAGCGACATTTCCTGCCCTATTACTCGTTCCTTTTGTTAAAACATCCAAATTAAAGTCTCCTACAATAATAATGTCGTTTGTATTATATTTAGTCTTTAGCAAATCCATTAGCGTTTTCAAGCGATTGAAAAATATATTAGGCTCTCTATTGCTATTTCGCCAATATATAACAACTAGAAGTAAATTTTTCAAGCTTGTGATTTTAACAGCGCATATTTCAAATACATATTCTATAGACATACTTGTAATATCCCTCTGTTCAGATTCACAAATAAAATGATACAGTACGTCTATGTGTTTCGTTCTTTTGAACGATTCATTGTAAACCATTTTGTGTGTGCTCTGATTGTCGTGAAAAATAGTTATTGGTTCTTGTAAGTTGACACCAAACTTCAACTCGTTAAAAATATTCTTTATGAATTTGGCCTCCTTAACAGCAGAACCTAAACTATAAAACTCGGCTTCGGTAGAAGGCAACAACATTTTGTTTCCTCGCGGCCCAATTTACTAAAGATTGTCCAAACATTGTTAAAGTGCCGGAGTACGAACGCCTATCTATAATATCTCCCGTCCAATCAGCGTCACACAAAATACAAGCTTTTTGAGTACCTGTGCGTTTAAAATTTAAGCCAAAGTCTTGTGTGCCTTACAAATAGCGTAAAACGCGTTTTGCAGCAACCCAATGTGTTTCATCAAAACCTGTGTTATATTGGCTTAACTTGCTACACGCAAAAGCAATGTCAGGCCGTGTACTGACAGCTAAATACATAAGGCTGCCTATCAGTTCCTGATAAGGAAATTTATTGTCACACACTAAAACCTTTTTTAAATTAAATTTTACTTCCATTGGAGTAGCAAATGGCTTACATTCGGCCAAACCAAATTTTGTTAACAAATTTTGAATATAAGCTTTAAGCGCGTTTGTGAAAGTTTAAGAGTACCATGGGCTCTATCTCGAAAAACTTTCATACCTAAAGCTTGCTTAACAGGTCCAAGTAATTTTATCTGGAAATTTTTCATTAAAAGGTCATATAGCTCTTGTTTTCCTGTTTTACTATTGGAAAATACGAAAAAATCGTCAACATATAGTGCAATAATAACTTTATTTTTATCAAAATGTTTCTGATAGACACATTTTTCACGTTTTAACTGAGTAAATCCATTAGAAACAAGAACGTTATGAACTTTCTCAGTCCAGGCTCGACTAGCCTATTTAAGACCATATAAAGATTTCTTTAAAAGCAAAACTTTATCCTGCCCCTCAATCTTAAAACCGTCGGGCTGTTCCATAAATATGGTTTCGTGAAGATCTCCATTGAGGAAAGCAGTATTAACATCGATATGCTCCATATCAAATAATGTTCTTAACGTGCTGTGTCTCACTACAGGAGCAAATGTCTCCTCATAATCGACGCCATAACGTTGCGTGAACCCTTTAGCGACTAGTCTCGCTTTATATTTTGTGAGATTTCCATCAGCATTCGTTTTATCTTTTAAAACCCATTTGCATTTAATTACATTTGTGTCCTTTGGTCTATCTGCTAAGGTCCAGACATTATGTGCTATGAGAGAATCGTATTCATCTTTCATGGCTATAAGCCATTCATTGGCATGCTCAGAGTTGATTGCTTCACGATAAGTTCTTGGTTCATTGCGACTATGAGTGCTTGATGTGTGAAATAATTCATCACATAATCATCGAACCAAGCCGGGGGATGACGCTCACGAGCAGGTCTATTATTACCAAATTGTGATGCTCCAATAACAGCATTATTATCAACGACAGCATTATTATTATCAACGTCTGAACTTCAACGTACGTTATTTTCAAAATTGTCATTAATCACTGAAGTATCTATCCATATTATCAATATTTTGAGAATGTGTATCTGAAGCATTATCAACTAATTATTCAGTTGGAGCATTATGAACAATAATGTTTTGTGTATCGAAAGTAACCTTCTCATTTGATGTATTATGATCACGAGCATTCACATCACCAGTTTTATTTGCACAAGCATACATTTCATTTTCAAGAAAAATAATGGATGAAGCTTTAATAATTTTTCCAGTTTCTGGATCAGCTAGACAATAACCATCGGAATGAGTACAATATCCTACCATAACATAACATTTAGCTTTGGAATCTAACTTGTTACGTGCTTGTTCATGAGTTAAAGCATACGCCTTACAACCGAAAACACGAAGATGACTTAAGTCTACTTTTGACTCAGTCCAAAGTTCATGTGGTGTAGCTCCTGAAATAGCAGCGGTGGGAGAACGATTTTTTAAGTAAGCAGCTGTATTGACAGCTTCAGTCCAAAATCGTTTACTTATACCAGCATCATGAATCATAGCTCTCGCTTTCTCTACCAAAGTTCTATTGAGCCTCTCACTCATACCATTTTGCTGTGGTGAATAAGGTATTGTAGATTCATGAATGATTCCAATTTTTTTCAGGTAGTTAGTAAAATGTTTATTAATGTACTCAGTACCGTTGTCAGGCCTAAATCGCTTTATAGTAAGATTAGTTTGATTTTCAGCGAATTGTTTAAATTCTATAAATGCTTCCGAAATAGTTTTGGCATCCTTGCGTTTTAAAAAACATATAAAAGTTTCGCGTGAAAAATCGTCTGTAAAAGTGATAAAATATCTACAATCAGAAAAACTTGGCACTGGTAACGGACCACATAAATCCGAATGAATCAGTTCAAGCTTACATGTGGTACGAGTCTTGGACATTTTAGGAAAAGACTTCATTTTATGCTTTCCTTCAATACAAGGAACACAAGCCAACTCACAAGCTTTAAACTTAACGCCTGTTACTAAACCATTTTTTAGTAAAGACATATCCCTAACATTAAGGTGACCGAGACGTGATTCAGGAAATATGTCGGCATTATTCTAGCTTGTTTAAGAATGTATGTATGTATGCATAATCACAGATTGATGGACCACAAACAAGACAACACATTGATACTACGTACAGATGACTCTACGTTTCAGTTTTTATATATTTGTAAAAAAGGTAGTCGATTGTCAGACTTTTTTCAGCACAATGACGGTTGAAAAATGTTGTTATTTGGAATGAAACAGTGACTTTTTGCTCGATGTGTAAAGAATCTACTTCATATTGAACGGTTGATCCTGTGAATTAAAAGTACGTAATTTAATGTACTCATACAAATGCAGAAAAAGGACCAAAAAATATCTCAGGCTCGTCTGGTCTCTGGCAGGTCTCATGGACGTGAATGCGCAGGCCGGCGGCGCCGGCTGGTATTTAGCGCGCCAAAACAACTCGCACCAACCTCTCCACAGACTGCGGCTGACAACAATAGCAAGATTCCCACCCCTGCACCTGAAAGTACTAGAGATGAACCAGCTAGAAACGATAAGAAATACCGGACAAACAAACTACCTGACCAATGACGTCATCCTTGAAAAACCCATGCCACCCGAAGAGTTGCTGCCGCCTCCAGACAGGATATCTGTGCGATTCTCTATGGCTCACAGCGACAAAGACATAGACACCCTCTGTGTATCAGATTCTCTACGCCTGTTTACGGATGGCAGTAAATTGGAGGACGGACGAGTCGGAGCTGCTTTTGTGGTATACACCCAGGGGCAACCAAACCCAGAAACCACACATAAGTTCAGGTTGCACCTGGCTTGCCTTCCAGGCCGAGCTCTACGCAATAGACCAGGCGTGTGGATGGGCGCTAGAGAATGGGTCTCATAACACTACAATCTTGTCCGACAGCATGTCGGCTCTCTTGATACTTGGGGAAAGAAGCATCCGCTGCCTCGTTCCCAGTTACTTTCGCGTGTGCTTTGACCCAGACAAATGTGATACGTCCTAGTGTTTCCAATTTTTGTATTTTCCTGTGAATCTCGACTATTTGTGGGTTACCCCAACCCGTTCAGGGGAATGCATGGCATCGTTTGTGCTGGATAT